AGGTTTTGGATATACTTTTAAGTTAAAGCCAACAGTTCTGGTGACAGATGGGCGAGGAGTCAAGGATGACCCTGAGGTTTCCACTCTGAGCGATGAAGATGCTGTCCATGAGTCTACGACAGACTGGTCCTGCCTGTGAGACCCAGCTCCAGCTCGCTGGCTTTCCTGTTCCCCTCTCCACTCCCTTGGCAGCCCCAGACTCCAGGGGGAACGGCACGGATCGCAGCCAGCGCCCCACAGGTTCCCACCAGCTCCAGCCCGGTCTGTACCAGCCCTGCAAACCCATGGGCATCCCACTGCCCAGCCAACAGGTGCTCACTGCCTGGAGCAGCCAGTGCGCTGGAGGTGCCGCCACAGTGACAAGGGCGGCAGAGATGCAGGAGGCCTGCTGTCCCCTGCAAGCCTGGCCGCAGCCACGTCACCGCAGGACCCACAGGGGTTAAGCTTAAGCAGCTATGGGAGCACAAAGACTCCCTCAGTCCCAAAGCAGGGAAGACTTCCCAGGGGAGGAGGCATTTGAACTGGGCCTTGAGGAGTGAATACAAGTCCACGGCGGGTAAGAGAGAAAGGACAGTTTAAGAAAAGATGTGAAACCAGGCCTCATGGTGGGGAGTCCACTGGGGCCACGGAGATGCGGCTGGAGAGGGAACAGGGTCCGGATGTTGAAGGGCCTCGAATGCCACCCGGAGACTGGGCACCATGGCGTCAGCACTGGGGAGCCGCCCAAGGTTTCTGAGCTGGGAAGGCCTATGACTGAGACCGTGATGGGGTGAAGGGGATGTCCCGTGGCTGCCCAGAGGGTGGATCTGGGAGGGATGCCCAGGACCACGGAGAAGAGAGCTTGAGAGGTGATCTAAGAGAGATGTCTTCCGGTCTGAAGTGTCCAAGGACTGGGATGGTAAAATATCAGGTTCTAGGGACAACTGAGGACCTTTGGACCCCCCCCCCCAAAAAAAAGAGAGAGAGAGAGATAATCAATGTTTTACATGCCCCCCAATTTCCTCTTGAGCCCAAAGCCTAGCCCCCCACTTACATGCTAGGTGACCCTGGGCAAGTTAATCAGCATCTCTGAGCTTCTGTTTCCTCTTCAGAAGGATAAAGACACATTGGGTTGCAAGTGGCAGAAAACCTAACTCAGACTATTTTTTTTTTTTATCCTCACCCGAGGACATTTTTCCATTTTTTGTTCAGATAGAGTGGAAGGGGGAGAGAGAGAGAGAGAGAAACGTCGACATGAAAGGGACACATCGAGTGGCTGCCATCCGTACGACCAACCAGGGCCGGGGACAAACTGCAACTGAGGTACATGCCCCTCACGGACACCAAACCCGGGTCTCTCTGGACCGCAGGCCGATGTTCTAACCGCTGAGCCAAACCGGCCAGGGCTGACTCAGACTATTTTAAACAACAGTGGACATCACTGGACTAGTGAAGCGAAGATTTCAGAGGTACGGCTGCCTTCAGGCAAGAGCCATCAACTCAAAAGGTTCCAAAGACCCAGTTTTCTCCTTCCTTCCACTCGTGTCCTCGGCAAGGTCCACTTTCCACCACAGCTGACTTGCCTTGTGGTCCCCCAAGAGCCACCCCAGCTCCTGGGTCTACAGCCTTGCCTGTTCCCAGAGACAGAATCTTTATTCCAGCAAAATCCTGATAGTCCCTCTGATTGGACCAACCCAGGTCATATGCTCACCCCTGAGCCAATCACAGCATCCAGGGGCGGGGTGTGTGCAAATTGGCTTGGCCTTGGTCACCTGCTCCACCCCCTGGAGCCGGGACACCAAGTCAGCTTCCCAGGCACCACATTCCACCCCTTAGGAGGACAGGGCCTGGGGGGGGGGGATGCTGGGAGGCATCCACACATGGTCACCAATGGTCACTGACCCATCAAGCAGGGTCATTGTGGGGATTAGATATAACTTGTGAGAAGCATGCAGTTGGTGCCCCTTAAAAGGCAGTTATTCTTTTTGTTATTGCGTATAAAAGGCCATCGTGAGAAAGAAGAATGAGATTTAATTTGTGGTTCCAAAGGATAAAGCCAGTGTCCATAAATGGAAACCCCAGATAGCTGGGTTTTGATTCAATCTAAGAAGTATTTCCTAGCCCTGGCCGGTTTGGCTCAGCAGTTAGAGCGTCGGCCTGCGGTCCAGAGAGACCGGGGTTTGGCTCCCACTAAGGGCACGTACCTCGGTTGCAGTTTGTCCCTGGCCCTGGTTGGTCATGTGGGTGACAGCCACTCAATGTGTCCCTTTCACGTCGATGTTTCTCTCTCTCTCTCTTCCTCTCTCTCCCTCCTACTCTATCTGGAGAAAAAAAAAAAAGGAAAAAAATGTCCTCGAGTGAGGATAAAAAAAAAAAAAGAAGCATTTTCTAATAAGTGGCATAGTTCTTAGTGAGCCTCCCATCATCGGAGGGGAACAAGAAAGGATTAAGATCTCAGCCTGGGGCAGCTCTGAGCAGAGGCCTCTGAGGCCGGTGGGATTCCAGGATCCTCTCCAATGGCGGTCCATGAGGCACAACCAGGAAAATGAGGTCATTATCGCTTAAAAAAATTTAAACCAAGGCATCAGAGGCAAGAAAAGAGAATTAAGAGCTTAAAACTCGCTGATCCTCTGACAATCTGGTCCCAAGGGCAGGGGTGACAGGCACATCCAGGAACAGAGCTGCTCCCTGGAAGCTCAGGGCGGCGCAGGGCCTCAGCTGTGGCTCTGGGCTCCCCTGGGAAGCAAGTGCAGGGGACAGAGCAGGGCTGTGCACACGGGCAGTCCACCTTAGGGTCTCCCCAGTCTCTGCCCACCAGGCCAGGCCAATACCCAGGGCTGCGGGAAGGGGGCCCAGCCGAAGAGGAGGCTGCTCACAGAACAGAGGGACAGCCAGCACTTTGGGTGACCCAAGAGAGGGGCAAGCCAGCCTGTCAAAGACCCTGGCCACCAGGGAAGACAAGGTCCAGATGCCAGGGTCAGGATCCCCCATGTCTAGCCCCAGGTCTCCTTCCAAGCTCAGTTCTGACAACTCGGCCACCCCGAGCCACCTGTTCCCACCGAGCTACCCTGGCCTCCTCGCACCCCACCTTTGCTCCTGCTGGCCCCTGCCCTTCCCCCACAGTCTAACTTCCTGCCTTCCAAACACATCTCCGTCCTTCAAGGCTCTTCCCAAATCCAGCTTCCCCCACAGTCTTCCCTGCTCAACACCTCCACCAGCCACCCCTGGAGCCTGAGGCCCCGGCACACCAGCACATTGGTGGGGAGACTGAGTCCCCCAACATGACTGCGGGTGATCCTCTGCACCTTTTCCCCCGTCTGCAAAGTAAGGATCCGAACAGAGCCTAACGGAGTCTTGTGAGAATAAATGGATCAAGCAGCAAAGGTTTTGGGGAGGGTCATAAATGTCAGCTATCGTCCTCATGGGTTGTAGGTACAAGTACTTGCTTTGTGATTCTGAACGGTTCTCGGTGTCCGGCACCCCAGGCCGAGGGAGATGAACCGAGCTGCCCGTGCGAGGGTCGGAGGGGACGCTGGTGAAGTGGAGGTGACGGAGTCTGAGGGTGACTTTGCCGCCTCACCCATGCTCACGGGGCTCCTGTTTGTGCCCAGCTCCGGAAAGAGGCTCAGAGAAGAGAGACGGGACTACCCTGCCCTTATGCAGAAGTGGCCCCGAAATGAGAAGGCCGTTCCCCCAAATCCCAGATGATTCAAGCCAAGATCCCACCACCCACCACCTTGAAGCATGAAAGAGGTCAGTCCCGGACAGGGAGGAGCTGGTCCTACCCTCCCAGGTGCAGGTGAGCTTATGGAAGTGGCCCCTATCAGGGCTGGTCCGGGCCAGACTAGAAATCTCTCCCAAGGAGTCCCGAGAGGGCCCCAATGTCTCCACAGGAATGGGTTCCCCAGGGCACCCGTGACACCGCGCTCCCACCTGTGCACTGGGTGCACCTGAGCTGGACACCTAGCCTCTCTGGGCAGCAGTTTGGCCTCAGCAGTGAAGTTCTGGCCCCCGGAGCCCACCACTGGAGGTGGGCAGCAAGGGCACGGCCATGCCCAGCAGTGCACTGGCACAGCTGTCTCTGGGCACACATGAGGCCCAAATACCCTAAAGACAACACTCAGAATTTGCTAGGGGGTAGCTAATTTCCAAAAGAGCCTAGTACCGGAGGGTATGCCACAGTCATTTGGATGTGAAAAGAAACACTACCTTGCTTTGTCCCTGATGGTTCAAGGGTCGTGTGGCTTTGCAGTGGTTGGCATTTCCTGAGTACCTGCTACAGGCACTGGACACACGTGACCGCTGGTGAAACAGCTGCTGTTCCCATTCTAGAGATGGGCAAGTGTAGGCTCGGGGGCAGTAAATAACTAGCCCAACATACACAATTCAGAAGTGGCCATGCTGGGATCCAAACCGAGGTCTCTCTGATCCCACATGTCCTTTCTCAGGGACCTCTGGAAACAAGAAGGAAACAGATTCATTTCACCCAAGTGAGGTTTATGCACAAGCATTTAGGAAGCACCCACTGTGCCAGCCGTTATTCAAAGATAACGCAGAAGCCTGGGTCCGAGCTCTGGGGGAATCTGGGAGATGAGACGGAGACACGTGGGCAGCTAGAAAATGATGTGGGGAGCTCACACCCTCCCAAACCAACCACAGCAGGACCAGGCACGCAAGGGAAGGGATTGAGGTGGAATCTGCAGGTACCCGCTGTGACCACCAGATGGCAGACATAGGCTGCGAAATCAGACTCCGTCCTTGGAGACCAGGGATAGGTCACCTTGGGTCACTTTTTCTAGGAGTGCAGGTGCCTGGCAAGCTAAACAGCTTGAGGGGAAGGAGCGAAGTGTGAATGTTTTTAGGCATCTGCGACTAGGTGGGTGAAAACATCCGGGATGCAGAGAACCTGGAAGGGACACCACACCAGTGACGAGGACCAGGTGGCAATAGGGATCGTGTGAACCAGCAAGCCCCCTGTCCTGCGTCCCCCAACGCTGGGGCCCTCGGTCCCGCGGGCCGCACTAGTCCCTCCCCATGGTGTAGCCCTGGATCATGCTGCTGAAGTAGGCTGCCGTGTTGCGCTCCGGGTGGAAGAGGATCAGGTAGCACTTCGGGCCGAAGTAGCCCAGGCTAATGCCCAGGAGGTTGAGCACAGTGACCAAGAGGTCTAGGAAGGTGACCAGCACCCCCTCGTAGACAGACATGAAGGTGCAGAGGGAGATGGAGGAGATGCAATAGAAGGTCGTGCAGAAGGTAATGAACTTGGCCTCGTTGTAGTTGGTGGGCAGCTCCCTGCCCATGTAGGCGAAGCCGAAGCCGGCCACAGAGAGGAGCAGGTCCAGGCTGGTGTTGACCAGCAGCCCCTTGCGGTAGTTGGGGTTGCAGGAGAGGACCATGACCTCGGGGTCCCGGGGGTCCGCTCGGGCGGTGGGGCTGATGCTTGTGACCAGCAGGCTGCATATCACAATGACCACCTTGAGCACCATGACGAGCACCACGAACACGTAGGGCCCGTGGCAGCGAACCCAGTAGCCGTAGGCGCGCGGCAGGCGGCTGGCCATCTTGAAGACGCACACGATCTGGAAAGAGCGCACCGTGATGCAGGAGATGCAGACGGTGATGCAGACGGTGAAGAAGGTCTGGCGGCAGAAGCAGGTGGACACCGTGGGCGGCCCCACGTACACAGGCACCATCGTGTACGCCACCAGCAGCGGCGTCAGTATCAAGAAGCACATGGGGCCCCCCGCTGAACGAACCATGGGGGTCTGGAGATGCTTCCAGAAGATTACCAGGATGGCCAGGGTGCTGAGGAAGCCCAGGGCCGCCAGCACGGCCACAACGAGGGTGGGTGTGTCCTGCCACTTGAGGAAGGCCAGTCGCCGCTTGAAGCAGGAGGTGTCTTTCCTGTGGGACCACTCATTGCTCAGGCAGGGCTGGCAGTCGAATTCATCTGCAAGAGCCCACAGCAATTCCCGTCAGCCGAACCCACCCTCCTGCGGGGCCAGGCCCCCGGGATGGAGAGAGAGAGCTAAGGTGACCCCTGCAGTCACAGCCAACATTCACCGAGTCCCTGATACCCACTGGCTCATCAAGTCCTCACAGCAACCCCATTTCACAGATGACGAAAACTGAGGCTCCGTCAGGGAAGGTCAGGAAGCCAGCGTGTCCAGAGGCAGGATCTGAACCCCCGTCTCTTTGACTCAGAGCCGAACAGCTGTAATCCCTGCCTTCCAAGACCTCACTCTCCGGTGGAAGAGACTGTCAACTATTTATTCAAAGAATCCATTCAGCAAGCATGTGTCTGAGCACCGTCCACTGTGAGAAACACCCGAGGTGGGCGGCCACAGAGATGGAGTAGCCCAGCCCCCGCCTTCAGGCAACTTGGTGCCCTGGGCTCTTCCAGGCACATAGTAAGTGGTTTGATTGGCAGATGGATACATCCATTTAATTTACTAACCAATGAAGTCATGAAAAAAAATAATTTGAGCCCCAGCTCTGAACTGTGCTAAACCCGGACGTGGACAGAGAGATGACAGAGTCCGCGTCTTCCTGGAGTTATGATCTAGAGAGGGAAATGTTAGTTAATCCTTCTAATCAAGAATGTCATTCAAGAAATATTCACTGAGCAGCTGCTATGGGCTCTGAGCTGTGCTAGGCATTTGGGAGACCAGAGAGACACGTCAGATACTGTCCCCGTCTGCCAGGGACACTTCCTCTGTTGGCAGGCCACTCATTCACTCATGCATTCATTCCGGTATTGTCCACCCATCCCCCGGGGACTTTCCCTGGCCTGGCACCCCTGGACCGTGGACTACGTGAAGATTTTTCTCTACACCAGGTACTGGGGAGATACAAGTGGAATCAAACATGGCCCCTGGCCTTTGGACACTTACATTGATTGCTTCAGGGAGGCCCAGAGATCCTGCCAAAGGGGGAGGGGCCTGGAGACCTCCGGGCAGGGCAAGGGCGAGAGAGGGGTGCCAGCCTGCAAGCCTACCTTCAGTTTTGTTGAGGAAGGTGCCAGGCAGGCAGTCAAGACACTCAAAGCAGCAGGGGTGGATGCCCACTGACTTCTTCTTCTGCCCAGGCTGGCAGTCCTTGGAGCACGTGGACACGGGGACCTGGCGGGAGGAGGGCGTGAGACCCTGGCCCTCCTCCCCCACACGCTGAGGGCCTCCCGACTCTCCCTGCTCCCTGCAGGGCAGGGAAGCCTGGCCCGTCTGGAAGGGGAAGGGGTGCTGAGGTTGCCATTCTTAGAACTGGACCTTTGTAGGGACCTTGTTCGTTTTGCCTGCCTGAGACCTGACCACACCCACCCAACTGAGGAGGCAGAGACTTTAGGAGGCTGCTGGGAGGACAGGACGTGACTCTGGGGCTGCTGGCATCCACCTTGTCTCCAGGGCAGAGAACATGCCCGAGGAAGAATCTGAGAGACGGAGAGTGAGATCCTGGATCCATCCTTGCCTGAAGCCTCACTTCTACCCCTAGAGGTTTCAGTGATGTGAGGTGATGATTCACGTTTTGCTTACATCACTTTCTGTCACTGCAACCAACAGTCTTATGCGCACAGCCTGGGGGGGTGGCTTTTAGGTGAGCAAGAGCAGGTAGGCAGTGACCATGTGTGTTGTTTTTACCGCTGTATTTCCAGAACCTAGACGAGTACCCAGCACAGAGGCATGTGGCCTGACTGGGAACTGAACCCACAGCCTTCTGGAGTACGGGATGACACTCCAGCTGAGCCACCTGGCCAGAGCAACACTCCATCCTGTAAGCCCCCCAGCCTGTGCAGGTGGGTACTGCAGCCCTAGCGAACAAATGAAGGCACCAAACCGATTTACTCCATAAAAATCCCGAGAAGCTCAGACACCGGCAGCGTCGGGAGCTCTGGAACTGGGGACAGTGTGAGGCAGGGGGAGAGTAGTAGGTTCTTCCAGAAGCTTTGAGATCCCTTGATCCCCACCCCTCCCCACGAGCCTGAGTGTCTACCCCTCCCCACACCAGCAGAATTCTGACACATATTGTCTAAGGAGGATTAAAAATGGAGCTTTGGCCCGGACGGTGTGGCTCAGTGGATTGAGCGTCGTCCCATGGACTGAAAGGTCCCGGTTCGATTCCCAGTCAGGGCACGTGCCCAGGTTGCGGGCTCGATGCCCAGTAGGCAGCGAGCAGGAGGCAGCCAATCGATGTTTCTCTCTGACATCGATATTTCTGTCTCTCTCTCCCTTCCTTTCTCTCTAAAAAAAAAAAAAAAATCAATAAAAGCATATCTTTCAGAAATGGAGCTTTAGACGGACAGCTGCCAGAGACAGTTAAAGGGTAGCTACCACACCGGAAACATGAGCACTAACTGGCAGGGTGTAGCCTGGGTGCTGTGCAAAGAGCACCTCTACCATGGACACGCTGTGTGGCCTCAGGGAGGTCACGCAACCTCTCTGTGCCTTCAGTTTCCTAAGCCGTAAGAGAGGGAGAACAGCAGCCTCTGTTTCCTAGGGTTGACATGAGAACTGCAGCCCTCAGCACACGCATGCCCAGTGAACGCCGACTTCGCGGAGGCCCTGACCCCACGGTGCTGAGGAGCCAGCAGGCCCTGAACTTCCAGTTCTCGATCCACGTGGAAGGACGGGACCCAGACAGGACACCCACAGATAGAGACCAGCTATCGGTAATGATCTCGGTGCGCTCCTTGACAAATGGACCCCGGCCGCCCCAGCAGAGGCCTCCCCCAGCCCCTGGGGGGCTGACCGCGCCGTCGGGGGTGTGCCAGGAGACGCCGCCGACGACCCTCAGCTGCCGCCGCGTCGGGTGGTAGGAGGCGAAGCTCTGGAAAGGGTTCTGGCTCCGGTTCCACTGCCACTGGATGACCTCCAGGGGCATGGGCAGGTCCCCCTGCTGGTCGAAGAAGATGTGTTGGCCCAGGAGGGTGAAGTTGACCTTCCTGATCTCCTGAAGCAGCTGGAGGGGCGGGAGAACAGGGAAGCGGAGCCGGCATCAGAGGCTGGGCCAGGCCTGGGAGAAACCTGCCCTCCCGCTCCCCTCGACCTCCGCATCTGCGTGATGGGGCCACGGGACTTTGTAACTGTGGCACGTGGGAGGCAGTGGCTCTGGGTTTAGGCATCAGCTGTGCCTCGGGCCTGCGGCTTAACCTCTCTGAACCTCTGCCTCTTCTGCAGAAGGGGAGCAACAAAAACCCTACCTTCTGGGCTCTGAAGCAATAAATACGTCAATCTATGTTCGGGGCTTAGAACAGGGCCTGAGTAAATGCTCACCTCTACTGAGGATTTGATAATATTCCCTCTCTCAGAAGTCCCTTTGGCCATCCCTCTGGAGCCCATACCTGAGCACCAGAGTCCACTCCCTTGCTCACCTCTAAGAATCTGGAATCTCCCCTGCCCCCCAGGTCCCACCAGCCTCCCCCTACTCCACCCCATCACTCTCAGGACACAGACAATGGGACAAACTAGAACATGCTTGGGACTGGGCCTCCTTGGGCCGGAATTCCATCCTAGCCCTGTCCTCGATGTGCTGTGTGACTGTGAGCAAGTCACTGAACCTCTCTGGTCTGACTCCAAAGGGGCTCCCAACTTAGCCTGGCTCCTAGACTTCCCCCTCCGTAAATAAGAGAGTCCACTGGGGGTACATCTTGGGGGCCCAGCGCTCGCTTCTCCTTGGGGACTGACAGAGAAATTGCCAAGGGAGATGGTCCCTAGCCTTCTCCCCAAGGAGGCTTCCAGAGTCAGGACTCTCCTTCTGGAATGTCCAGCAGCCGCCCTCCCACCACTTAAATCCTGCCTTCCCCAGCCCTGCCCCCCTGCAGAGCGGCAGCTCTGACCCTCCTGCACTCAGCAGAGGTGGTGCTGAGCTGTCCCCATCTCCCAGGGCGAGGTCTGATTCTCTCGCAGTGCCGGCCAGGGCCCAGCACGCGATGGTGCTCAGTCAGCGGGGCTGGAGAGCCCGGCTCTGTGTCGGTGCTCTCTGGTCTGCACTGTTGGGGGAGGACAGAAGTCGACTGGTCCTTCATCCCGGCTCCTGCCGACCGTGGCTGGGAGACGCCTGGAGGGAGAAGCGGGAGGACCACAGCGGGATGGGCCAGACCTGGGTTCAAAGCCACAGGCTGCTGTTTACCACTGAGCAATCGTGGGCGAATCCCTCTAACTCCCTATCCTCAGTTTCCCTGTCTGCAGACTATCAACTTCGTAGGACGGCCATGAGGTAAGGTGGTGTACACGGGGCACATGGCCTAGCAGGCGCTCCGAAAACAGTAAAGCACCCATGATAATTGTGTTATTAATGTAGCAGGGCATATAGTGAAGTATTTTGCCAGCTGGCACCAGAATTCCTTTGAAAGAATAACTGCGTTTTTTAAAAGAATGAACACGTAGGGCTGCAAGGTTAGGCTCTGAGGTTATGGGGCGGAGAGGTAATAAATAGAATAGAGAGAGGGGAGATTTATAGAGAACTAACTAACCTGCTCTGTTAAGGAAGTGACCAGGTATTGGGGGATGGGTGGGTATCTAGAAAAGTGAGAAGGGGAGAATAAGGAGGGGCCAGGTACAAGGATTGGGGCGTTGGCTGAGCTCCAAACTTCGACAAACTCAGGGAATGGTTTCAGCGCAGTGATGTTTGGTAGCAAAGGACGAAGTGCACGGCTCCGCTGTGAAACCCTCTGCTCCCCCGGATGCTGAGTAGAATCTTCTCCACCCCAGGGGCTTGATGGTAGAGGTGTGTGTGTGAGTCAGAAACACCGAGCTAAATTCCAGGTCTGAATCAAGATGACGCAGATCTGGGACAATTATCCCTGAACCTGAAGCAGGACCTGAAGAGCTGATGGGGACCTCAGGCCCATTCCCCAGGCTCTGCACCCCGGAGAGACCGCAGCGGCCTCCACTGCTGCGCGATTTGCTTCCACCAGATTTCCCCTGAACCCTCAGACAGACGGTCACGGATGGTGAGGATTAAATTAATGAAAAGGAGCATTTGCTTTGGCACCACGAAGGACTACTGGTTCTATGTGTGGGAGGCAGGGCATGTCCCATGGCCTCGCCCACCCATTGGCCCGGAACCCAACTAGGGATGGAGAGACTAGAGCAGGAGGGGCCGGGGTGTCCTCTCCATGGCAACCAAAGACTCTGCGCCTGCTCGGGTCCCCAGCTTCTCTCACCCGCCAAGGGTAGACCACCTCTCTGGAGCAGCTGGTCCGGCTGCAGCCCAGGAGGCTGTGCAGCGCATGGGCCACGGCGTACACAGCAGAGTACACGCTGTAGGCCACGCGCTCGCCGGAGAGTGTGAGGATGCTGCTGAAGGACTCGGTGGTGTCCAGGCAGGTGTCACACTCCTGGTTGCAGGTGGCCCTCAGACTGGTCCTGTTGGGCGCGGGCGGCCTGGCCTGGGCACTGCGCAGGCGGAACTCACTGAAGCCGGGCATGGGCACGGCCTGGGTGGTGACGCCCAGGAAGGTGCCGGTGTGGCGCAGCTCGCTGAGGCTGTGCAGGACCGGGTCGATGGCCCAGGACTCGGAGGCGATCCACACGACGCCGGTGAGGTTCCGGCGCAGCACCTCGCGGAAGAAGCTGTGCAAGGCCAGGTCGGGCGAGAACACGACCACCACGCGCGCCGAGCTCTGCCGCAGCTTGTCCACGACGGCCCTCAGGCGCCTGCGCTCGCGCCGGGTCGCCGCCGGGGTGCGCGGGGGCGCGGGCAGCGCCTCGTGCAGGGCGATGCAGACGTCGCGGCGGGCCAGGCGCTCGCCGAGCAGCCGGCTGCTGTAGCGGCCGTAGTCGTCGCTGCTGACCAGCACGGCGATCCAGTTCCAGCCGAAGTGAAGCATCAGTTGCACCATGGCCTCCACGTGGTGACCGGCGCCCGGCACGGTGCGCAGCACGGCGGGGAAGCGCTGCTTGTCCCGCAGGCCGTCGCTGATGGCGCTGTAGGTGATCTGCCCGGGGAGGGCGTGGACATTGAACCGCCACCTGCCAACCCCGTTTACAGCTGCAGCCCACCTGTACCCGCGTGGTCATGCCCCGTCTCCTCACCCTGCTCGACTTCTCCTTTACCCATCGCACCTCGGACTTTCGAGCATCCGAAAGCATTCCTTCATTGACGTTTCCTGTCTGTCTCTCCACTAGGAGACAAGCTCTAGCTCCCAGCTGTATCCCCTGTGCCTGCAACAGTGTCCGCGTAGTAGGTGCTCAATAAATGCTTGTTAAGTGAATGAGAGAATGAGTTCGGTCCTGGACTAGGTGTCACACGAATATGAACATGTACTGAGCACCTACTGTGTGTCAGACCCTGTGCTAGATGCTTTACATAGTAAAAACAACAGCAAAGGCCCTGGCCGGGTAGCTCAGTTGGTTTGAGTGTCATCCTGATACGCCAAGGTTACAGGCTTGATCTCCAGTCAGGGCACACACAAGAGGCAACCAATAAATGCATTAGTAGAACCACCATTTGATGTTTCTTTCTCTCTCTTGTACATGCTCTCTCTCTCCCTTCCTTTCAGTATCTAAAAAGTAATTTCAAAAAACAGCAAAAATTACCGGATTTGTGACTACCTACTGTGTGCCAAGTCCGGTGCTAGCTTCTCTTTAAATGAATGGACATTTTATGCCAGCTGGACTGTGATGATGGTAACAGTGATAATAAGAGTAATAACAATAGCTACAGGACTTGCTATGTGGCAGGCCCTGTGCTAGGAAGCACCCAGGACAATACTGAGCATTCTCTGAGTGTCCATTCTTGTGCAAGATGCTCTACTAACAACGGTAACATTACCGCCTACCTACTGTGTGCTGGGAACTCTTGTATAGGATAAATGCTTTAATCTTCAGACAGTCTTGGGATAGAACTCTTAGCATCTCACTTTGAGAAGGCTCAGAAGAGGTGAGAGATTTGCTCAAGCCCGGCCGGTGTGGCTCAGTGGCTGAGTGTTGTCCCGAGCATCCAGAGGTCGCCGGTTTGCTTCCCAGGCAGGGCACATGCCCAGGTCGCAAGCTGGATCCCCAGTAGGGGGTGTGCAGGAGGCAGCCAGTCAGTGTCTCGTCCGTGTTTCTGTCCCTCCCTCTCCCTTCCTCTCTAAAACTCTATTTTAAAAAACATATTTTAAAAAAAAGAGATTTGCTCAAGGCTTCACAATGGGCAGGACTCAGAGCCCAGATGCACACCCAAGTCTGTCCCCAAAGCCTGAGCTCTCGACCAATAGGCCGGGCTGCTTTCCCAGGATCGGGGTCCATGACCTGAGCCTGCTTCTGCTCCCACCTCCACCCCACGACTGGCGGGGGCTGAGCCCTCTGGACAGCCACACCTCTGCCCCCTCCCATCCCTCCTCCCAGGCCTACGGGCCTCACCTGTGGAAGGAGAAAGAGGGAGAGGAAGTGGGCCACAGTCATGGTAGACTCAGAGTTTTCAGGGCCAATGACGGCCACCACGCGGGGCACATAGTGGCTGTAGTCCTCCTGGATGGGCAGGAAATTGTCGTCCTGCGCCAGGAAGTAGAGCACGGGCTGCACGTTGTTGGAGAGGTAGCAGACGTCCACCATCTCGTAGCCCAGCCGCACACCCGGCAGCAGGCCGCGGCGGCTGTTGATCTCCTCCACCGCGAAGCGCATGGCCTGCATGAGCTTGTAGCCCAGCGTCTTCACTTCGTACCTGCAGGCGCCGCGGTGCGGCAGGAAGCAGGTCCGGAGTGAGAGGGGCCGGCAGGGGACCGAGCCCGTTGTCCCCACATGCCAAGGGAAAGCTGAGGGAGGCACTGCCCAGGAAGGAGCCACCCCAGAAGATTCGGCATTTTTACCACCTCGCTGTCGCTGTACCACATCTCGGGGATCATCATCGTCCCTATGACCACCTCCAACACTCTGATCTTCGTGGCCGCCAATCACTACCATGGACTCTGGACTCTCACCGCTCGGCCAATGTCCGCAATGTGACCGCCATTACCCACTGTAACTCCACCACCATTATCACCACTGTCACCGTCATCACCTACTATTCCTGTTTCCAACAGCATCACCACTGCATCACTGTCACCACGTGTGGTCACCATTACCAATACCACCATCCTCACCAGCACCGTCATCACCATCAACCTCCATCACCACCACCATCATCACCACCACCATCACTATCATCACCACCAACATTATCACCATCAGTATCACAACCACTATCACCACCACCACCACTATCACCATCACCACTATCATCACCACCATCATCACCATTATCACCAGCACCACTACCACCATCACCACTATCACTTCCATCATCATCACCATCACCATCATCACCATCACCATTATCACCACCACCATCATCATCATCACCATCAGCATCATAACCACTATCACTTCTGCCATCACCACCATCACCACCCTCACCATCAGCATCATCAGGATCACCACCACAATCACCACCGCCACCACCACCACCATCACCACTATGATCACTTCCATTATCACCATCATTTCGCTGGACTCCCTGCCATTATCACTGGTGTCAGAACATCTAACATCATGCTTAGTATCGTCCCTGCATTATCACCCTCACCATTCTCAAGCCATCATACAATCTTCCCCAACATCACAGAAGTCTGTGCTTAGTCATCTTAGAGGCAGTGCTTAGTCATCTTTTGCACTCTCCTTCCTTTCTCCCTCTCCCAGAATGCCTTTACCCTCCATGCACAAGGTCACTCTCCTACAGTTCCAGGCTGGCTCCAACATCCGGCCTTCATCCTGGCAGGAAGATGCCCACCCAATCTCCGAGTGATGTTGCCACCCCAAGGGGAGGGGAGGGCCGAGGAAATGCCCCCCAGTCCTGGAAGTGCCCTGGGAAAAGGCAAACATTCCCCTCCGGTCTGAGAACCTGCTGCAGAAGAACCACATTCTGCCTCCAAGGGTGTGACACCTGGTGTCTCGACTGGGCCTCGAGGTGGACTCACTGGGAGTCCCCTGTTGCCAGAGGGGGTGGGGGTGGTGTTGATGGTCTCTAAGACAAGGCCTTATGATCTCAAACATCCTATAAGTCTTTACAGTAAGAGACAGACATGGGGACAACCCAGGTCTCAGTGTTTCAGAACCCGATGGCCAACGATGTCAGTAGTGGGGACTGCGGGGGCCTTCCTGGGGGCCAGCGAGGTGGCTCCAGGACGGGGATCCGGCAATGAATGAGGAGGAGCTTTCTGAGCCCTGTCTTGGCCTTGCCTCCCAAGGACCACAGAACCAGCCCGCTCCCCCTCCCCTCACCACATCCAGCCCCCCGCTGGAGACTCACTCCTTGCACTTGGGCACCTGCAGAAAGTTGAGGTGGACAGTGCCCTTCATGTTGGCATGGAGGGTGAAGAGGCCACCCAAGACGTAATCCCCAGCCAGGCTGAAGTCCGAGTTCTCAGCGGGCTCAGCCAGGACCTGTAGCAGAAAGAACAGGGAGCAGACCACCCTGGCCTGGGGTCCCATGGCTGGGAAGTGAGGGTCCCAAGAGGTGGCTCTGCCTCACCAGAGGGCGAGCTGCTTATACCAGGGGATTTGCACAGGCATTTACATAGTGACGGTCCTGCTGCTGTCGGGGCGGGGAGAACACCTGGGACAGGTGGAGAGGGGAGAGGGATCTGGGGGAAGGGGAGGAGGCTGACCGAGGACAGTCCCTTCTCGGGGCACGGTGGGGCCTGCGTGGTCTGGAAGAATCCCGTTTGGAGGTAGAGAGAGCATGTCCTGCCAACTTGGCCCTGGCCTTCTGCCTCACGGTTAAAGACTGGTCACATCCCCTGATGTTTCAAACATCTGGGAGTAAAGGACATAGATGACCACATCAGTAGACAGTAGCTTGGCAAAGGGAGCCACCTTTGGAACCTGACCAAGGTGGCCTGGCATGGGGCAATTCTAATGGCATCTGGCGCATAGCAGGTGTCCCCCAGTCTTAGCTATTGTCAATAAGAACCAGGCACCAGCCCTGGCCGGTTTGGCTCAGTGGTTAGAGCGTCGGCCTGCGGTCCGGAGAGACCCGGGTTCGGTTCCTGCTAAGGGCATGTACCTCGGTTGTAGTTTGTCCCCGGCCCTGGTCGGTTGTGCGGGTGGCAGCCACTCGATGTGTTCCTTTCACGTCAATGTTTCTCTCTCTCTCTCTGTTCCTCTCTCTCCCTCCCACTCTACCTGAACAAAAAATGGAAAAATGTCCTCTGGTGAGGATAAAAAAAAAAAAAAAAAAAAGAACCAGGCACCATACTGAATGCTTGTCATTCTCCATCTCTCTTAATACTCATGAAAACTGGGACTGTTACCAACCCAGTTCACAGATGAGGAAACTGAGGCACAGGGAAGTTGAGAAACTCACCCTGGATTGTACAAGCCACAGAGCTGACATTCAAATCACAAGCCAGACTCTAGGGCGTGGCCCTGCATCTCCACGGCGCTTGTGGATGGTGAGGTCAAGGTCACTGCTCCATACAAGCAGTGGGCCGCAGCGAGGAGAGCTGGAGGTGGGAGTGGGGGCGGGGTCTGGCTCTGTCACGCAGCGGCCATGCTCAGCCCCACAATCCATCGGTCTGCTTTGCAGAGTGAGCCCCCTCTGAGTCACCCACCTTGGACCAGAGCCAAGGGACAAGGGTCCTGGCAAAAAGGAAAGTTGAAAATTCCTACAGTTGCCTGGTCAGTGTGGCTCAGTCATTGAGCGTCAACCTATGGACCAAGAGGTCACCGGTTCAATTCCCAGTCAGGGCACATGCCCAGGTTGTGGGCTCAATCCCCAGTGGGGTGTGCAGGAGGCAACCGATAGATGTGTCTCTCTTATCAACGTTTCTCTCTCTCCCTTCCTCTCTCTCTAAAAATCAATAAAAACATATATATACATATATACACACACACACACACATATATATATATATATAATGTTTTTTTAAAGCATGTATTCTGACCTGGCATTAAAAAAAAAAAAATCCTAAAGTCAAAGGTGACTACCCCACAAAAGTTGGATGGAGGGAGCTGGCTCTTAGGGACCCATTGGTGTCAGAGACCCTTGGCCATATAATGCTGTTGGTCCATATACTGCTGTGGTCCTTTCTGGCCCTAACGATGGGGCCTAGCAGGAGCCTAAGGGGGACCTGCTATAACGCACAGCTCAGCTGGGTCTGTCACAGGGTTGTGGGGGCAGCAGGCCCTCTGCAATGCTTTCAAACGTCATGACTTCTGCTCAGCAGAGTTGTGGGAAGGATTCTCATCCCCACTGTACGGATGAGGAGACTAGGGCTCAGGGGCCTAGATGTCTTCTATGGAAGGCCCAGTGGAGGCCGGAGGCGGAACGACGGGCCCATGGCCACCCAGCCGGTGAGGAGGGCCGGGGTGGAACCAGCTAGAACCGCATAGCTCACGGTCCTCGCAGCCTGCTCCACCAGGTCCCCGATTTCCAGCTCCTCGAGCAGTCACTTTACCCTGCCCCCTCCCCCGCACCTGCCACTCTCGCCTCCATGTAACTAGGGCAGGTGGCGGCTCAAAGCCATTGCTCACTCTTTCCTCTGCCTCCCCTCATCCCCTAGACCAGGGGCTGTGGCTCCCGAGAGTCCAGGTGCCCAAGGCCTGTTTGCATGGCCACCACAGTTAAGTCCCCGTGTCCGTGCTGGCCCAAGGAGTCTCTTCATTTCCGTCTGTGGCCGGGGCCCGGCTGCAGGTCTGGGCTTGGAGCGTGAACCATTTGACTGAGGCCGGACGTCCTTGTCACCAGTCCCATGGGCTGCCAGTCGGGCGTGTACTCTAAGGAAATGAGGGGCCACCTGTGCCAGCTCCTGGTCGACATGCTGACTCAGAGCTCCTGGGGGTCCAAAGCACGCATCGGGGTGTGGACCCACCTTCTTCAATGTCCTTTTCACGAATTCACCACCACGTGTTCATCCTCACGGTGGCTGTGTGGTGCCTGGAGGCCAGCGTGGTAAATCGGGCCACCAGCAGGCTGCGGACCAGGCACTGTGCTCAAGGCTGCAGACACCCCCTCAGATACTCGCGGCAGCCCTAGCACTCCCATTTTACAGATGAGACTGAGGCCCAGAGGGCTGTAGGAACTAGTACCCCTAGGTGCGCCTCGCCTGCTACGGTCCATGTCAAGGCTATGAGACTAGGTAGTGAAAACACTTAGCCAGTGACCAGCCAACACTGCTACTGTCTCGGTGTGACCTTGAGCAAGTCACTCCACTCCTACAAAAACACGAACCGGACCCACATATTCCCCAACTCCAAAATTCAGTGGCCATCCTTCCCCTCCGGGAGCTCCAGCCTGGGCACTGCGTGCTGCCCTCGGTCCCTGCGTGGAGCTCCCTCTGGCACAAGTCAGTGGGACCCGAGTGAGCAGGGTGGCGGCTGTCGAGGGTCGCGTCTCTGTCCCACGGCTGAGGTTCTCCACGCCAACAGCCCAGACAGACGGTCCCAGGACGGGGTGTGGACGTGGCTCAGCTGCGGCCCCTGTACGTCATCTGTGGGTGGGGACAGGTCAGGACACTGTTCCCTGCCAAGTCAGGGGGCCAGGTGGGCTTGCACCCAGACCCTGCACTCAAGCTAACTGGCCAGTCGCTGCCCTCAGGTCACGCGGCAGCCGCGCAGGTCTCTGCAGGCGTCAGGGCTGTGTGAGAACATCTGTGTGGCGAACGAGGGGGTTCGGAATCAGACCTGTGCTGCTGTTCCAGTGATACCACACTCCTGGCAAGTCCCCTTACCCTTCCGCACTGTCCTCCTCTGCCAAGGGGGGCCTGGCAGCACTTCACAAGGCTGTCGTGAGTGAGAAAACACGCAAGTGCTTGGCACGTGTATTCTCAGGTTTCTCCGGATAAACTGCACCAAAAGAAGGCACACACACAGACAGGATTTATTGTAAGGAATTGGCTCACAAGATTGTAGGGTTGGTAAATGCAAATTCTGCCAGTAGGCTGGCAGGCTAGAGACCCCCGAAGGGCTGGGTTTGAGTCCAAAGGCAGTCTGCTGGCAGAATTCCTTCTTGTTCGGGGAGGTCAGTCTTTGTCCTGTTAAGGCCTTCAACTGATTAGATGAGGCCCACCCACCTTATGGAGAGTAATCTGCTTTATTCGAAGTCCACTGATTTAAATGTTAACCTCATCTCAAAGCACATTCACGGAAACATCTAGAATAATGTTGAACTAAAATATCCAGGCATGTCAACTTAGCACATAACAGTGGTTGTTGTAACAATGGGTAGATGGGCAACATCATCGAGTCATTAATTCTGTCTGACATTGTTCTGACACTTACATTGATTAACTCATGTAATTCTCATGACAACCTCTGTGTGTGTGTGTATTACTAGTCCCACCTTACAGATGAAGAGACAGAAGGTCAGAGAGGTTACACAACATTTTGGAGCTGCGATCTGAACCTAGCCCATGTGGCTGCAGAGTTCCCCCACCCACAGCAGGGATTCCCCTACACCAGTGCCCGCCCTTCCTTCTATCACACGGAGGGCGCTGTGCTCCTGACACCCACTGACACACTGGCGATGCCATCAGCCTTAGAAGCTGACCCCCTCACCCCCCACCAGGAAGACCACCAATTTGATTAAGTAACAGGTATTTTACTGGTGACATCCGGGCAAATCCCATGCCACCTCACAGTGCATGCCAGTAGAACCAGGACACGTCCACCCTGCCCACAGTGGCTGCCTGGCGGGCCCCGGTGGAAACACTGCAGACCCCGGAAGCAGAACTCAGGCCCTGCCGGGCAGCATCGGCACTCACCCCGCCCGCGCAGTGGGAGAGCATGGCACTTGGGGAATGGCCACGCCAACCCCGTGGGGACCCCTGACAGCTGTCCTTGAGGAGGGCCCAGCACTTTTAGGGCTCCCTAAAAATTGCCCTCCAAGTCACCCCTTACTGGTCCCTGGCCCCCCAGAATCCAACCTATTTGTGAGAGCCCACTGACTGGGTGCATCAAACAAAGAACAGGCCACCCAAGGGCCAGTACACACAGGGCCACTAGCATGCAAAGGATGGAAGACCACGGGCAACCCTGGGCCCTGGCAGGACGGGGACCCACGGGTAGGTCGTGGGGGCTGGGAGATGGCGGGAGCAGCATCCACCTGGGCCAGTTCGCCACGCAGTGAGAACTGAGCCCCTGCAGGCAAGCCCAGGCCAACACAGGCTGAGAGGGGCCGTGCTGGGGGCAGGTCCATCCACAGTCTCAAAACCACAGCCCCAACAGGAAGGATCAGCACAACCCACATCTCGGCAGGTGGCCTCCAGCGGCCCCCCAGCCTCCCACATGGAGCTGGCCAGGAATCACGAGGGCATAGAGCACCCGGAGAAAGGCACATGGGCATCTAAGGCTCACGGTCAGGCACAGGTACTCACTGGCTCAGTGGGTCTGGGCAAAGAGCTGGTGTGAAAGGTGGCGCAGCTCAAAGAGGGCGAGGTCAGCTAGTGCCCAGCACCCTGCAGCCACAACTCACCGGCCCTGCAGACCGCCCTGGTCACACCTAATCCCGCAGACCTGGAGAAGCGGGGCCAAGGCCAGGAGCTCTGTGGGGAATGAGGTTTGCCCAAGGCCCGAGGTGCCTCCTTTTCCCCACGGGATTGGGAGCTGTCCCCATAACATTCCCCAAGTCCCCAAATCACTGGGCCACAGTGTAGCAGAAACAGTAGAAAAGGAGGGACAGAGCACCAGCCGGCACGAAGGTCACACCTACGAGATGTCAGTTCTAGGACGGCGATGGGATGAGGGGCAGCAGGCCTGTCCCTTCCCAGCGTGATCCCAAACCAGAGCTGGGGCACCTGACCCCGAGATGGGGGACAGGCCAGGGTATGGGCCAGTGCGGGGTAGGGAGCCAGCCCTTGGCTCTAGATCAGGGGCCGGTCCCACGAGAGCGGGGTGGAGGGGCTGTGGTGGTCCCAATGCACTGAGGTCAGTCTCCTGGACGGACGGGCAGGTGGGCAGCAGAGGTGCCAAGCAGGTTCATTGCATGTATGAGTAACGCCAATCCCCCAGAGGCTTGTGTGTCTCCTTGATGACCTGGGGCGACGTCCACCGCAGGACATAGTGGGGCCCCCCTGGCTTGTCATTGGTTCCTGTGGGAAAGACACAGCTCTGGGCAGAGGGGCAAGGGGGTGGGGAGGAGCTGACGCGTAAATGGGGCCCCAGCATGGGCAGCAGACGATTAAACTGAAACGGGATGTGTTCACAGTGGCCAGTTTCCTAAGCACGTGTGAGGAGCACCCTCAGCTGGGGGTCGGTGGGGCAGGAACGGAGAGTGGACAGGATGCCACTCCCGGGGTCCGTGCGCCCCACCTGCCAGAGGTGTCTCGGAGGCAGGGGAGCAGTGTGGAGGCAGCTGGGACCTTGGAAAGTGACGACCCCAATTTGAGCCTCAGTTTCCCATTTGTAAATAGGAGCTGGAAGGAAGTGTCTGGAGCTCAGTGGTACAAGCTGTGGTGCTGACTCAAAAGCCAGTCCACCACTTCCGATCACGTGCCCGTGGGCCGGTCACTTCACCACCCTGTGCCTCAGTTTTCTCTGTAAAACGGAGAGAGTTTAGCACCTTGGCTCACGGGGCTGTGGAAAGGCCTCAGGGTGAGCACAATGGCCCTCCCACAGAGCTCAGGGAGGGGTACTGTTCCTATTCTCTTTTTTTTAAAGTATTTTTTCTTTATTGATTTTAGAGATGGGAAGGGAGAGATAGAAACATCGATGAGAGAGAACATCGACTGGCCGCCTCCTGCACGCCCCCCACTGGGGATCTGGCCCACAACCTGGGCATGTGCCCTGACCGGGAATCGAACCGGCGACCTCTTGGTGCATGGGTCGACGCTCAACCACTGAGCCACACCGGCCGGGCCTATTATTCTTTTTTTTTTTTTTTTTTTATCCTCACCCGAGGACATTTTTCCATTTTTTGTTCAGACACAGCGGGAGGGAGAGAGAGGAAGAGAGAGAGAGAGAGAAACATCGATGTGAAGGGACACATCGAGTGGCTGCCACCCGCACGACCAACCAGGGCCGGGGACAAACTGCAACCGAGGTATATGCCCTTAGCGGGAACCGAACCCGGGTCTCTCTGTACCGCAGGCCGACACTCCAACCGCTGAGCCAAACCGGCCAGGGCACGGGCCTATTATTCTTAACACCCCTGAAATGAAGGATCTGGAGTCTCCCGCCAGGAACTTGGCTCCCCTCCAGAAACGGGCACACTCACCAGAGGCTCGGGCCCCCCCGAAGGGCTGCTGGCCCACCACTGAGCCGGTGGACTTGTCGTTGATGTAGAAGTTCCCAGCGGCGTTCCTCAGCACCGCGGTGGCTTCCCGGACAACGTCCCTACGAGGCAGGGTGGTCAGCTCACCACCCCTCCAGGCCCACCCAGCCCAGGCTGGCTACCAGGTGGGCACTATGCCCGGCCACCAGCTGTGGGCCCTGGGAGGTAACTGAGGGGCCCGGAGCCTGCTTCCTCCTCGGGGAAGGGGGCTAGCATGCCTGCCCGTAGGGCTCCCACAAGGGCTGAGGGTGCAGGCCAAGCAGCTCACACCCAAGGGAGCAGCCCCTCCTGGTCCAGTGTTTCTGTCCCTCGGGAGCTGGGGACCCCCCCAAGCCCCTCAGGTTCCATGCCCACCTCCCCCTTCTGTGGTGGCAGACAAGGGGAGGCAACTGAACCATGGGGAGCGAAAAGCAAAGCCTCGGGAGAAATATCATGGTCTTGGGTTTGAATCCTGTCTCTGCGAGATGGGCAGTGTGCCCTGGCCCTGAGCCTGTGTCCCACTACGCAGCATGAGGCGATGACCTCGCTCAGTGGGGCCCCCATCAGACTGGGGGAGCTGGTCAGAAGCACCCATTCCCAGGCCCACCCCTAGAGCTCCAGATTCAATAGGGGGCCCCAGAATCTACACTTTCACAAAGAGCGGCTGCCCCTGTGTGTGCTGGGAGGCCTGCCTGCCAGTCGGGCTGAGGGGAGAGGAGTGGACAGAAAGCAGGGTGGCATTATTACTGGAACCCATGTTGCGGTGTCCTGTCCAGGGTGTAGGCAGCACCCAGGCCTAGAGCAGAGGGGCTGGGGCCACTCACTTATCCTGGGCGAACACTGCCCCCGTGAGGCCGTAGCTGGTAGTGCTGTCGACCAGCCGCAGCGTCTCCTTGTACTTGTCGTCTGGGTAGACATACACGGTCAGCACAGGCCCGAAGATCTCCTGGGGGAGAAGCCCTAGGTCGGTGGGTCAGCGCCCTGAGGCCTCCCTGCCTACTCTGGCCCCTGGCTCTATGCTCCGTCCCCGGTCACCAGGCCCCAGTCGCACCTCAGCCCCTGCAGGAAGAGCCAGGATTCCCTCCGGGACAGCACGGTGCCAGCTCTTGCCCTGCTCTTCCCACCCCAACCTGGCAAAAGATCCAAGGAATCTTTCTGGGCCCCTGCCATCCAGACCCACGCCCACAGAGCCATGGGCACAGGCCCTTGGGAACGGGAGACTTGTGGCCACAGCTGGTCCCGGAACTGCCCGGGTGACTTGACCTCCCGGAGCCCGTTTCTCATCTCTGAAATGGGACCGACGATTCTGCCACCGCAACCGAGCGCCAGCTGTGGCGGCCCGCCGTCGGGTCTGAGTGTCAGCTCAGCACCGGCGGTGGCCGTGGGCAGGGGAAGCACGACCCGGCCAGGGTCAGCAGATGCTCATTCCTAGCGCCTCCCTTCCTCGTCTGTGAAAGGGGATGACGCCCCGAGAGGAATGCCACTGCAAGGGCCCTGTGCTGTGCTGATGACAGGCTGTCCCCCGGGGCCCTGGCCACCTGCGGTCACCTCCTTCATGATGGGCTCCTGAGGGTCCTTGCTCTCGATGATGCAGGGCTCCACGAAGTAACCCACAGAGTCGTCACACTTGCCCCCCGCCAGGACGGTGAGGCTGGGCGAGGAGCGGGCGTGCTCCAGCCACCTCTTGATGCGGCCGAAGGACTGCGGGGGGGGGGGGGGGGGGCGGGCGTCAAGGCCGGCGAGGACGCCACTCCCAGCCGCCTCCGATACACTCACCCCAAAACACCTGGTCCGAAGGACCCGAATTCTGAAATGGGGGGATGGGAGGGCCCTGCGGGTCTGGATGAGCCATGGCGGAGATGAGGGCAGACACACATGCCTGTGTATGTTAGAACTATAGGTATATCTACATGTAAACACAACAAAAACGCATGACATAAATGTATACATGGCATACACACGGCCATGTTGTTTTAAGCATATAGATACACAGTGAGCAAAAGGTTTATAGTTGTGAGTACGTGAAACAGAGTTTATTCTAACTATTGTATTACAACTATAAACCTCCTTTCGCTCACCTTGTGTGCATGCCTGTGTTTATGCATGTAGACCTACACATGTGCCTCTTTACACACAAACATGTACATGAATATCTTTGCATGCATACACGTGGGTGGATTAGTTCATGTATGGAGATGTGTGTGTATGGATTCTATGCATTTACATGGCAAGAACGCTGTGCATGCCTATACACACGGGTGTTTATGCATGTGAACACGTGTACATGTGTTTAGGTTTATGCACACTGATGTGATGGCCCGTCTGTGTCTGCGTACGAACATGTGCACTTAAAGGGGGCTCGCTGGGCTTGGCTGCAGGGTGTGCAGGAGGTGAGTTCTCTGGTTGGATGATTCTACCCTTTGCAAAGCTGGGGGCGGGGTGGCAATCTGGCTGCCTTCCCACAAGCAGTGGGGCTGGGTTGCCTCCCATTTAGGGCCCCCCGTATCTCCTCCTCCCTCTTCCACCCAGTCCAGGGCTCAGCTCCCCAGGAACAACTGGATTCCAGCCCGTACCTTGGCATCAATCACTGCAGAGAAGAAGGTCCCAAAATCTTCTGCAGGCTGGAGGCAGGGGAGACACCAGAGGAGACCAAGTTGCCACAGGCCCCAGACAAAGGGACCCCCTCCTGCACACCCCAGCCCCACCGCACAGGACCCTCCAGTCCCCTCAGCCCCTCGCCGGCTGCGGCAGGGATGAAGGCACCACTCACGTCGCCCACTTTGATCCTGCTGTGCTCCTCCAGCAGCTGCTTTTTGATCTGGGGCCACAGCGAGTGGGGCACGTAGAGGCGGGAGCAGGCTGAGCACTTCTGGCCACCGTACTCAAAGGCTGAGCGCAGGGTCCCGCTCACCACGCTGCCCACGTCGGCTGAGCGGTGTACAAAGTGGAAGTTCTTCCCACCGCACTCTGCAGGGCCAGGGCGGGGTGCATGAAGGAGCAGCTCCTCCAGCACCCGGGGGCCCCCCCGCACTCTGCAGGGCCAGGGCGGGGTGCATGAAGGAGCAGCTCCTCCAGCACCCAGGAGCCCACCACACTCTGCAGGGCCAGGGCGGGATGCATGAAGGAGGGGCTCCTCCAGCACCCGGGGGCCCACCGCACTGCCTGCACCTATCCACGGGGCCCTGTGGTCAGCCCCCGTACTGGGCAGGTGAGTGCGGAGAGGCCCCGAGTCAGAGCTGGAGAGCATCCCGGAAACCGAGGGCCAGGCCTATGCGCCCACTTACAGATGAACACAGTGACACCCCAGGGTGAAGGGTGGCGGGTCATCAGGACCAACTCCCCCATTATATAGATGAGAAAACTGAGGTCAGGGCCAGGGGTGCCACCCAACACAATGGCAGGAGGACCCGAATCCTAGGCTCCCACTCCACTCCCAGAGGTGGGCACAGCTTTCCTGAAGCTCTCCCCTGATCCCCGACCCAGTGACAGGAGAGGGGGTCCACCCATGTCAACTGCCAGGGCTCCTTCCGCCTTACCCACAGTGCTCAATTTGCTGGATGGCTGACGAGCGAATGAATGAGTAAATGAATTAAAATGCACATTGAGGCCGGGTGCTCTGCACCACTCAGGACCTGCCAGAGCGGAGGCTCCGCGCCTCAGGCCCCCAGGTCTCAGCTCCTGAGGCTGCGTCCCCTCCTCTTTCCTGATGGCCAGGGGAGGGAGGGGTCCCTGAGCACAGAGGACGGGGCAGGGGGAGGGCCCTTACCTCCAGCCAGGCGTGGGAAGGTACGAAAGCGATCCAGGTTCTGGGCTACCTGCTTCCACAGGTGTTTGAAGGTGCTGAAATCAGAGGACAGGGTGGGGATTAGGGAGCCGGACTCGGGTACCTGAGGGGGGGGACACAGGCCCTCCCACAGGAAGGGGCTGAAAAGCCAAGTGAGGAACGCCAGGGCCAGCAGCCCAGGAGGTGAGCAGGGATCACAGCAGGGGTAGGGAACCCAGGAGGTGGTGGCAGCTGGAAGTGGGCAGCATCCCAGGCCCAGGGGAGGGAGCAAGGGGAGGCTTGGTGGTAAGATGGCACAGAGAAGGCGGAGGGGCACTGGGTTTGAGCTGACTCGGGCGATCTTTTGCTCATTACTTCACCTCTCTGAGCCTCAAATTCTGCACCGCATCTGGGAACTCGGAACAATCCCACTGGGCAGGGCTGATCAGTGATTCACTCTAATGAGAGTCCAGTGCTCAGGACAGTGCGGGGCCCACTGCAGGTGCCCAACAGGACAGACGCTGTCACTGTCTGTGATGGGCGCCCTAGCCCAGCACCCAGGCTCCAGAGACCAAACTGAGGAGGGTCCTGGGAGAGGAAGCCCAGGCCCCCGCCTCCTCCCTGGGCTCCGAGTGTGACCAACCTCAGCACCACGAAACAATAAAAATGCTAATCACCAGGGAGCCGGGACACAGTAGCTAATACTAATTTATGGCTCCCCCACCTTTCAGCCGCTGCTCATCAGAGCATGGCAAATGGGGGCCAGGCCTGCTCCGCCCGCTAATAGGCAGGGACCCGGGGGCCTGCGGCTGGCAGAGCAGGCCTCTGGAAAACGGCCCTCCTCAGCAATTCTAATGCTGCCGTCGCCACCCTGCAAACCCCGGAGGGAAGAGGGGTGGGGGAGCCGGAGACCAGCAGAGAGAAGCCGCTGCAGGTGTCCCAGCGCCACCTGGGAGGACCCCAGTGCTGACCCCAACATCTTCACCCAGAGGGCCTGTGGGCACCCCGAACTCAGTGACCAATATGTGGTTCCTCTTTGCCTTAACCTGCCTGCTGCTGGGCCTTCTGGGTGCCCACCTTGTGAACAGTGCCCCCTGCCCTGAGCCTGGACGACCCTCCACCCCACAGACAGGGGATCGAGTCTGCCTGCTGCTTTCTCACTTGAAGTAGCCCACTGTTCTCCACTCCCACTGTCTCCACCTCCTTCAGGCCCCGGCGTCCCTGCCCTACAGACAGACTCCTAACGGTCCCCGCCTCCGGCCACTAGCGACTTGTGCGCCGAGCACCAGAGCCTCCCTGTGGGACAGGGGCGGCTGCAGTGCAGGACCAGGGAGGAGGGAGTGAGTGAGGCCACCGGGATGTGAACACCTGTGCGCTGGGGGCGGCGGGAACCCACCTGCCTCCAGCCAGCGGTGCCAAGTGGACATGAGGGCCCGGATGGCACCAGAGTACCCCTGAAACTGTCCAAGTTGTACAAGGTCAGTTCATCTTTATCAGGAGTCGCAGAAACAGAGCCACGCACCAAGTCCCACCAAGGAGCTACTGTTTGTAATCGCGGCTTGAACCCCGATGAAGCCGCTCCCCCTGCGTAACACCTCTGCTGACTCCCATCATCTTCAGGATCAAGTCCCGACACCTTTTAAGCTCACAGGGCCTTAGCATCACTGGACTAAAATCCCGAGAGGCCTTGTCCACTCCCCGGGTTCACTGCTGAGTGTTACGGTGAGCGGAGCCCAGCAGGCACGGGGGATGAACACCAGCTGAACGTGAATGAATGAGTGGTCAGGATCCAATCATGTCCTGCTCCCACCCTCACCCCCAGACCCCAATTCCACACCCCAGCCCCATGGGACCACCTCCACCTCCAAGAGCACAGAGCTTCTGCGTTTATACTCTGCACCTACTGTTTGCTCTCCTACAACATTCTCCCCCAACCTCCTGCCCTTTGCCTGGTCAACTCCTTAGTTTAGATGGCACCTCCTCCGAGAAGCCTTCCAGACTCTCCTCCTGCAATTATTTATTCCAAGCTTCCTTGTGCCCTTTCCAGTGACAGAGACCAGATCAAAATCAGTACTGCCAACACCTGTGGGTGCTTCCACCCTGTAAAGCTCTTTCCTGTTCGTTGATTAGTTCAAGTCTCATGATTACTCTGCAAGGCAGGGACCGGCAGTCCTATTACGCAGGTAAGGGGGCAGAGGCTCAGAGAGGTGCAGAGGCTCTCCCACAGCCACACAGCAAGCGAGTGACCGAGCTTGGCCAGACCTTTGGTTCACGGCCCCGCTCCTCACAGTGGTAGGAAGGCGGCTGCCTGTGAACACCCACTGCACCCTCCCGGCCTCGGGACTCACGCTGCCTGTGAACACCCTACTGCACCCTCCCGGCCCCGGGACTCACGCTGCCTGTGAACACCCTACTGCACCCTCCCGGCCCCGGGACTCACGCTGCCTGTGAACACCCACAGCACCCTCCCGGCCCCGACACTTACGCTGCCTGTGAACACCCACAGCACCCTCCCGGCCCCAGCACTTACGCTGCCTGTGAACACCCACAGCACCCTCCCGGCCCCGACACTTACGCTGCCTGTGAACACCCACAGCACCCTCCCGGCCCCAGCACTTACTCTGCCTGTGAACACCCACAGCACCCTCCCGGCCCCGACACTTACGCTGCCTGTGAACACCCACAGCACCCTCCCGGCCCCGGGACTCACGCTGCCTGTGAACACCCTACTGCGCCCTCCCGGCCCCGACACTTACGCTGCCTGTGAACACCCACAGCACCCTCCCGGCCCCGGGACTCACGCTGCCTGTGAACACCCTACTGCACCCTCCCGGCCCCAGCACTTACGCTGCCTGTGAACACCCTACTGCACCCTCCCGGCCCCGGGACTCACGCTGCCTGTGAACACCCTACTGCACCCTCCCGGCCCCGGGACTCACGCTGCCTGTGAACACCCTACTGCACCCTCCCGGCCCCGGGACTCACGCTGCCTGTGAACACCCACAGCACCCTCCCGGCCCCGGGACTCACGCTGCCCGTGAACACCCACAGCACCCTCCCGGCCCCGGGACTCACGCTGCCTGTGAACACCCACAGCACCCTCCCGGCCCCGGGACTCACGCTGCCTGTGAACACCCTACTGCACCCTCCCGGCCTCGGGACTCACGCTGCCTGTGAACACCCTACTGCACCCTCCCGGCCCCGGGACTCACGCTGCCTGTGAACACCCTACTGCACCCTCCCGGCCCCGGGACTCACGCTGCCTGTGAACACCCACAGCACCCTCCCGGCCCCGGGACTCACGCTGCCTGTGAACACCCACAGCACCCTCCCGGCCCCGGGACTCACGCTGCCTGTGAACACCCTACTGCACCCTCCCGGCCCCGGGACTCACGCTGCCTGTGAACACCCTACTGCACCCTCCCGGCCCCGGGACTCACGCTGCCCGTGAACACCCTACTGCACCCTCCCGGCCTCGGGACTCACGCTGCCTGTGAACACCCTACTGCACCCTCCCGGCCCCGGGACTCACGCTGCCTGTGAACACCCACAGCACCCTCCCGGCCCCGGGACTCACGCTGCCTGTGAACACCCACAGCACCCTCCCGGCCCCGGGACTCACGCTGCCTGTGAACACCCTACTGCACCCTCCCGGCCCCGGGACTCACGCTGCCCGTGAACACCCACAGCACCCTCCCGGCCCCGGGACTCACGCTGCCTGTGAACACCAAGCACCCTCCCTGCCCCGGGACTCACGCTGCCTGTGAACACCCTACTGCACCCTCCCGGCCCCGGGACCACGTTGCCTGTGAACACCCTACATGCACCCTCCCGGCCCGGGACTCACGCTGCCTGTGAACACCACCAGCACCCTCCCGGCCCCGGGACTCACGCTGCCTGTGAACACCCTACTGCAACCCCCCGCCCCCGGGACTCACTCTGCCTGTGAACACCCTACTGCACCCTCCCGGCCCCGGGACTCACGCTGCCTGTGAACACCCACAGCACCCTCCCCGGCCCCGGGACTCACGCTGCCTGTGAACACCCTACTGGCACCCTCCCGGCCCCGGGACTCACGCTGCTGTGAACACCCTACTGCACCCTCCCGGCCCCGGGACTCAACGCTGCCTGTGAACACCCACAGCACCCTCCCGGCCCCGGGACTCACGCTGCCCGTGAACACCCACAGCACCCTCCCGCCCCGTGACTCACGCTGCCCTTGAACACCCACAGCACCCTCCCGTCCCCGGGACTCACGGACTCACGCTGCCTGTGAACACCACTACTGCGCCCTCCCGGCCCCGACACTTACGCTGCCTGTGAACACCCACAGCACCCTCCCCGGCCCCCGGTCCGACCTAACGCTGCCTGTGAACACCCACAGCACCCTCCCGGCCCCGGGACTCACGCTGCCTGTGAACACCCACAGCACCCTCCCGGCCCCGGGACTCACGCTGCCCGTGAACACCCTACTGCACCCTCCCGCCCCGGGACTCACGCTGCCCGTGAACACCCTACTGCACCCTCCCGGCCCCGGGACTCACGCTGCCCTTGAACACCCACAGCACCCTCCCGGCCCGGGACTCACCGCTGCCCGTGACACCCTACTGCACCCTCCCGGCCCCGGGACTCACGCTGCCCGTGAACACCCGACTGCACCTCCCGGCCCCGGGACTCACGCTGCCCGTGAACACCCTACTGCACCCTCCCGGCCCCGGGACTCACGCTGCCCGTGAACACCCTACTGCACCCTCCCGGCCCCGGGACTCACGCTGCCCCGTGAACACCCTACTGCACCCTCCCGGCCCCGGGACTCACGCTGCCCGTGAACACCCTACTGCACCCTCCGGCCCGGGACTCACGCTGCCCGTGAACACCCTACTGCCCCTCCCGGCCCGGGACTCACGCTGCCCGTGAACACCCTACTGCACCCTCCCGGCCCCGGGACTCACGCTGCCCGTGAACACCCTACTGCACCCTCCCGGCCCCGGGACTCACGCTGCCCGTGAACACCCTACTGCACCCTCCCGGCCCCGGGACTCACGCTGCCCGTGAACACCCTACGAACATCCCACAGCACCCTCCCGGCCCCGGGACTTCACGCTGCCCGTGAACACCCTACTGCACCCTCCCGGCCCCGGGACTCACGCTGCCCGTGAACACCCTACTGCACCCTCCCGGCCCCGGGACTCACGCTGCCTGTGAACACCCACAGCACCCTCCCGGCCCCGGGACTCACGCTGCCTGTGAACACCCACAGCACCCTCCCGGCCCCGGGACTCACGCTGCCTGTGAACACCCTACTGCGCCCTCCCGCCCCGGGCCTCACGCTGCCTGTGACACCCACAGCACCCTCCCGGCCCCGGGACTCTCGCTGCCTGTGAACACCCACAGCACCCTCCCGGCCCCGGGACTTACGCTGCCTGTGAACACCCACAGCACCCTCCCGGCCCCGGGACTCACGTTGCCTGTGAACACCCTACTGCGCCCTCCCGGCCCCGGGACTCACGCTGCCTGTGAACACCCTACTGCACCCTCCCGGCCCCGGGACTCACGTTGCCTGTGAACACCCTACTGCGCCCTCCCGGCCCCGGGACTCACGCTGCCTGTGAACACCCTACTGCACCCTCCCGGCCCCGGGACTCACGCTGCCTGTGAACACCCTACTGCACCCTCCCGGCCCCGGCACTTACGGCACGCTGCCTGTGAAGTTGATGCCGCACAGGTGCTCCGAGCTGGTAATCGTGTCCCCAAACGTGGGCCCATCCGCTGGCACAAACTGGATGATGTTGGGGGGCAGGCCAGCCTCCCGGAGGACGCGGTAGACGGCATAGCTGGCCAGCATGGCAGTGTCACTGGGCTTCCAAAGAACCACATTGCCCTGCCCGGGAGGCACAGTGATGACTCCGAAGGCCAGGGGCCGCCAGCCCTGACTCCACCCCACCCGAAGCATGGTCACCCCTCACCTGGAACCACCAGGCCCCCGTGCAGGCCAGGATGTCCCCCACCCCACCCAAGGCCTCCAGGTGTCGGGCACTAAGCTCTAACAGCCCAGGCCAACAAGACCACGCTGGCCCTGGCTGCTCCCACACTCTGGCCAAGGCTCCCTTCCTCCAGGAGCCTGCACAGACTGGTCCTGCCAGCACCCCTTGGGCAGCTCTGCCCTCGGGGTTTCTGAGTTTCTGGGTGCTCACAGGGCTCTCTGCATGTGTCCTGGGGAGGGCACGTGGGCACCTGGGTGCGCGTCTGTGCGAAGAGGCACGAGGACAGCCCTGTGCATGGTGTCCTCCAGATCACCCCCCACCCTGTGTGGGGCCCTCCTCCTGCGACTCCTCGAGCCACCAGGCCCTCGGCATCCGCCCCATTGACTGGAAGCTGGAGTGACTTTAACACTAAGCCTGGGCCCTGGCCGGTTTGGCTCAGCGGTTAGAGCGTTGGCCTGTGGACCGGAGAGTCCCAAGTTCAGTTCCCGCTGAGGGCACGTACCTGGTTGCAGTTTGTCCCCGGCCCCGTTTGGGGTTCTGTAGGTGGCAGCCACTCGATGTGTCTCTCTCACATCGATGTTTCTCTCTCTCTCTCTCTCCCTCTCCCTCCCTCTCTCCTGCTCTACCTGAAGATAAATGTAAAAATGTTCTCAGGTGAGGATTAAACAAAAATAAAACTAAGCCTGATTCCTCAGCTGCCCCATCATTTACTAGCCATGCGACCCCGACAAACATGTCACTGGCACACCGCAAGCCTCCTAAGGTGAGCCGTCCTCATCACTGACCAGCCCTGGTCTCGCCTGCTCCTCACGACCCTGCACTGCAGGCTTTCCCCTTACTTCCTCTCTGCAGAGGAGGACGCTGCCTCAGAGCAGTGTGGGCTCAGCTGGGGTCACCCAGAGCGGGACAGAGCCGGGACCAAACCAGCCTCTGACCCCAAAGCCTCCAGGGCCCCCCGCTGCCTCCACCTCTGTGCTTCTCCCCACGACCAGGGTGAGACCTCGGGGGCTCGAGTGTGGCCTTCTTTGTGAGACAGGAATGATGCTGAGCTCCCACCATCTCTACCCAGTGTCCACATCTCACCATCAAGGCCGGCGCCCCCGCCAGGTTGCCGCCGATCGCAGTGAAGTTAAAGGGGGAGATGGCCGCCACGAAGCCCTGGAGACAGAGGAGGTGGTGAGGCCAAGCCCAGGCGCCCGGCAGCCGCCCCACCCTGCACGTGTGGGTACCTCGAGCCCCCGGTACACCACGCTGTTGGTGCTGGGCGGCACGCTGATGGGCTGCTCCCCCTCCAGCTCCACGGCAAACTTGGCGTTGAATCGGAAGAAGTCGATCAGTTCAGCTGCGGCATCGATCTCCGCTTGGATCACTGTCTTACCCTGCGAGGCGGGGAGGTCAGGGGGTCAGCAGTGGCAGGCGCCTCTCGTTAGCCCTGGCATGGGACCCCGTGCCCACAGTGACACCATGAGCAGGGTGCTGGCGGCTCCTGCCCTGGGGTGAGCAGGTGCCCCGTGAAGCATGTTGGGCCAAGAACCAGGAGGCTGTGACTGAACCTTTCCTTAGACTGTCTGTTCTCCTGGGGGTGAATGTGAGCCGTGGGGAAAGGGCTCTGGGAAGCAGGAGCAGAAGCAGGCCTTTCTCAGACAGGGCACCCACCTCGGCACACGGGTCGCTGGCAGCCGCTCGTCCTGCTCAGGATGCAGAACCAGGGAAGCTAAGGCGCACTGCCCCCCGCTGTGTACGGCCGCTGTGCTTCCTACAGCCTCCTAGGTCTTCAGTCAAATAAAGGGGCACTTTAATCTGGTCTTGGAAGTGTGTGTATCTCTTCCCGCCCAGGTGTGGCGCACCTGGGACCCTGGAGCCTGACACCCACCCCAGGGGCTGCTGAGAAAATCCGCACTCAGCAGGGTGTGAAGCTGTCATACCACATCTGTGCAGCAGGGGGAGCTCTCGCTGCAGAACGAAGGCTGAGCTGACCCGAAGCCCCTAAGACTCCTTCCTGAGGATGGTGAATTAACCCTTTCTCTCGCCTCCGCTTCTTGCCCAGCACTTTGGACTGCCACTGCCACTCTCTGGCTCCAATACACTCACTCAAAAACGTTTATCAGGAGCTCCTACGACTCCAGGGAGACATGATGCATGGCCCAGAAAGATGGAGAACATTAATGTGTGATTCCCGTTCCCAAAAGGCTTGTAAAGGCTGAACAGACACACAGTAAGTCATTACACCCCAAGGCGATCTGAGCTGTAACTGACAAGTGGACAGCATGGTATGGGGGCAGAAATGATTCTTTTGGACAGAGAAGTTTCTGGAAGCCTCACAGAGAAGGTGATACCTGGGCTGGCCCTTGACAGGTAAGGTTCATGGGGCAGAGAAGAGAGTGAGCGTTCCTGGCAGGGGGCACCATTTGGAGGTAGGGATGTGGGACGCTCGTGGTGCCCAGCAATGTCGCAGACCCAGACTGGCATCATCACAGGCGATGGCCTGGGGGCAGGGCAGAGCGGCCTGCGAGCTGGGCGGAGGTGGGAACTGTGGGCCCTGCGTGGCTGGCTCGGGATCTGGGCTGTGGCTCTCGGTGAGAGCTGGGTGGTCTGTGAGCCTGGAGCAACGGGCTGGAGGTGTCAGAAAACCAGGTAAAGCACCACACATGCCCAGCCTAGGGTGGGGACAGGAGGAAAGGACATTTCCACAGTCCACCTTGTCTAACATTCCATATGTCCGGCCCCTCTCCCAGGCCTCGCCCTCCAGAATCTCTGAGTCTCCGGCCAGCAGAGCAGGTCTTGGCACCAGAAGCTGCTCCGCTGATGTCTGCCGGACTGGATGGGGTACAACTGTCCCCCACCCGCTGCGCCCACAGGCATCTCACCTGCCCCACCATGGTCTTGGCGAGGACCTCTGCCCTGCGCGGCCCGCTCAGCATGTCCGCTGCCTGCAGGAAGATCTGGGCCCGGTCTGCGACAGGCTTCAGGTCCCACTCCTTCCTGGCGGCCAAGGCGGCCTCGATGGCTTTGTTGAGCAGGGCCTAACGGAGAGGAGAAGGGTGGGGCTTCTTCCTATAGCAGGAAGGGTCCCAGGGGGATGTGCGAGGGAGGAGAGATCCGAGGTCACGCTCCACCCAGGAAGACCCCTGCTCCCGTGGCCCCGAGTCCCCTCCCCACGGCTGGCGAGGCCGCCCCAGGCTTGGGACCTGTCCTGCCGCCTGTCTGCAGAAGTCTGACCTGCCAGCTGGGTCAGCATGCCAGGCACTTGGCACTGAGCCCTTCAGCTGTTAAACCTGCCCCTTTCTCCCAAGGGTGTCACCTTAATCCTGGGGCCTGCCCTGAACCCACCATCCAGGGCCACCGGCACTCGAGGTCAGGGTCCTGATCTGGTTTCGCCAGGCCATGCACCTGCTGCTGGCATCCCAGATGTCAACTTCCCCCATTGCCACAGGGCACCAGCTCCTAGACCCCTGCCACAGGTCACCCCATCCTCTCTCGATGGCCCTCACGACACCAATTCCCCGTCTGGTTTTCCAGCCACGATGTCTCCCATTTCCCTGACTCAGACTTCCAGAGTCTACCCTCCTCCCATGTCCAGGGATGTCCCAGCCTGACCAAGGCAGCTCCCACTTGGCTCGAGTTAACCCTTGCATGCCTGGCCCTGTTCAAGACACCCGCCCAGGGACTCCCTCGGTCCTCACTGCAGCGCCCTAACTGCTCCCCACCTCCGCGACCAGAGGGAGGCAGTGTGTGACGGCCACTCCATGTTCCCCGTCAGCAGGACGAAGCAGGCCAGCACTCCAACCCAAAGTCGCCAGGGACTCACCTTGTCTGCATAGCAGAACTTGGCCACCTTGTGTCCATGGTTGAAGGGCTGAAAGACAAGAGAGAGGTCACTGCCCAGGAGGGAGGTGCCAGGACAGGGGGAGGGGGCCGGGCTCAGAGCTGGCTCCCTCCCTCCCACCCATGAAGCCTCCAGCAGCCCCGCCCACACTGATCTCTGCCCCTGAAGGTTATGGGCCGCCTGCTGTCCCACGAAGAAGACATGGCTCCTGCTCCGGAAGGCACAGACTGCACCATCTTCCAGGGAAAACAGGGACTTTACGGTCAGACAGACAGGGTTCGACTCTCCGTCTGCCACCTGCTAGTTGTGGGGCCCAAGTACACTGACATCCCCCCTCCAAGTGCACCCACCTGGAGATGGGGACTTCCCGTCTCATACACGAAGAGGAGGACCGAATGGGGCGACAGGTGGAGATTCTCCAGACCAGGCCTGCGTGAGGCTGAGGCTGTGATGAGCACTGCCACCATGGGGGCCCCCAAATGACGCCTGAGGCAGGGAGCTCAGGATTCCTGCCATGCCCAGCCCCCAGGGACAGACCCATGGCTCCTGCAGGGGACCCACATCCCCTCGTCTCAAAGGGACGGTGCTAACACTGGAACCAGGGCCCGGCAGTGCGGGGGCCAGCATGAGCAATAACATGGGGAGAAATGTCACTTCATTCCCACGCCGGGCTGGGAACAGACTTCACACCACAATTATCAACACTTTGCCACCTGTCAGTATGCCGATGGCCTGTTCGGGGCTTTCCTGTCTAATATGGCGGCCACCAGCCATGTGACACGTACACTCAGTTGCTCGGCTGCCCGAGCCGTGCCTCACGCAGTCAGTAACACAAGCGGCCGGTGGCGGCCAGAGCAGACAGCACAGATACAGAACGTGTCCATCATCGTCTGAGTTCCGCTGGGCCGCGTGGTCCAGGTTCCAGCAGAAAATGCCCCTCCCCTTCATCTAACCCCTGGCACGATCACCCGAATCCTGTCCCTAGCTGAGACTACCTGTGACACTTGGGGGCGCCGAGAAGGCAGCGAGGCCCCAGGCCCTTCAATCCAGCATGTCTGAACAGACTTCGGACACCCCAAGTCAGTGTCCCAGTGACGTTGCTCCTGCCCCAAATGCCTGGGCTCCAGTGATTTCCACCGCAAAGTGGCCAGGTCAGTGAGGCAGCGTGGGAAGTGAACATCAGAAGTGCCCACCCAGGGGTTATCAAAATCCAGCTCCCTGGAAATCCCCAGGTGCCACGGCGGCCATGGAGACCCGGGGAGCAGCGGGCACGGCAGCTCTAGGCAGACACAGAGACGGACCCAGTGAGTGAGGCTGTGGGGGCGCCTGGCACACACCTGGTGCAGACCTGAGGCGCCTGCAGATCCCAGGCTCCAGGTGTTGGGCTCCAGGTCACCTCTGTGGGCGACTCCTGCCCCAGGCCATCCTCGGACCCGCAGACTGGAGGCCCTGGGTCCTCACCTGTATTCCCACCCAGGCCTGCTCAGGGACCCACCTGGGCAGAGCCAAATGTGCTTTCCCAGCTGCAAAGAGCCCTTTAACCCTCCGAATTACAGACGTGTGAGCTTCCCGGTCCATCCAAAGTGCATGCCAGTTCCTGGTCCATAAACTCCAAGCAGGTGGCTTTCTTAGGCCAATGTCACCACGGGGCGTGGAGCCCAGCTTTCTCACCCCGGCCCATTGTTACCCCCAAACCTCCTTGCAGAGAAATTCATCAAGAACAACAGCCCTGGTCGGTTTGGCTCAGCAGTTAGAGCATCAGCCCACACACCAAAGAGTCATGGGTTCGAATCTGGTCAAAGGCATGTACCTCGGTTGCGGTTTGTCCCTGGCCCTGTGCCATGCGGGAGGCAGCCAGTCGATGTGTCCTTCTCCCATCGATCTTTCTCTCTCTCCCTCCCTCCCACTCTATCTGAAGATAAATAGAAAAATATGTTTGGGGAAGACTAAAAAAAGAACAGAAAATGCTGTGTGGACGCCTCAGGATCTTTCCTGCCCGTGGACAGGGCTCCGTACGGGCCGGGTACGGCGCGACAGGGCTCCGTACGGGGCGGGTACGGCGCGACAGGGCTCCGTACGGGCCGGGTACGGCGTCACAGGGCTCCGTGCGGGCCGGGCACGGCGCGACAGGGCTCCGTGCGGGCCGGGTACGGCGCGACAGGGCTCCGTGCGGGCCGGGTACGGCGCGACAGGGCTCCGTGCGGGCCGGGTACGGCGCGACAGGGCTCCGTGCGGGCCGGGTACGGCGCGACAGGGCTCCGTGCGGGCCGGGTACAGTGCGACAGGGCTCCGTATGGGCTGGTATAGTGCGACAGGGCTCCGTACGGGCCGGGTACAGTGCGACAGGGATCCGTACGGGCCGGGTACGGTGCGACAGGGCTCCGTGTGGGCTGGGTACAGTGTGGCTGTTGGGCTAGTTGCTGAAATCACACAACCTACACTAAACACTATACCCCCGTGAGAACCAGGGTGGACTAGAAAAGTCTCTTGACATCACAGTGAAGAACTTCCAGTGGTTTAAAACACAGCCCAGCCGGTGTGGCTCAGTGGATTGAGTGTCCTCTCATGGACTGGGACGTCCCAGTTCAATTCCCGTCAGGGCACATGCTCGGGTTGTGGCCTCGATCCCCAGGAGGGGGCATGCGGGAGGCAGCTGACTGATGTTTCTCTCTCATCAACGTCTCTCTCTCTCTCTCTCTCTCTCTCTCTCTCTCTCTCTCCTTTCCTCTCTCTCTAAATCAAACATATTTATTTTAAAAAAACAGATATTAATGCTAATGAAGAGTCAGGGTGTGAATCAAAATCAGCAGAATACGGTTCTGGAGAGCTGGTCCATCACCTCTGTGCCATATCTGTGTACCCCAGAAGGGGCATTTGACATCTCTGAGCCTCACCCCACCTGTAAAATGGCAGCTAACTCCCTGCTTTCCCACCCAAAAGGGGAGTGGCAGGGGCTGAAGGGAGAGCCTGTGCAGATGGCTGGGGTCTCACCAGGTGTCCATGGAAGGAGCCTGGCTCCACCTGGCCACGCCCTGGCTCCACCTGGCCACGCCCTGGCTCCACCTGGCCATGCCCTGGGTGCTTATCTCAAATGAGCTCCTGGTGAGCCTGCCCGGAGGTTCCCAAGCACAGATCAAGGCTTGGGTGGCTGTCCTTTCCCTGAAAGGATTATCTTTCATTCTGACCTTCTACCCTTGCTTCCTACTCTCGATGCTCAGTGAGTCCCTTTTTCTAAAGGGGCGGTGGTCACTGTTTTCAACTTCCTCCTGGCAGGCGGGAAGTTGCGCCTTTTTTTTTTTAATCCTCACCCGAGGACATTTTTTTCCTGAGGACATTTTTTTCCATTTTTTATTCAGATAGAGTGGGAGGGAGGGGGAGGGAGGGAGGGAGTGAGAGATAGAGAGAGAGAGAGAGAGAGAGAGAGAGAGAGAGAGAGAAACATCGACGTGAAAGGGACACATCGAGGGGCTGCCACCTGTACGACCAACCAGGGCCGGGGACAAACTGCAACCGAGGTACGTGCCCTTAGTGGGAACCGAACCCGGGTCTCTCTGGACCACAGGCCGATGCTCTAACCGCTGAGGCACACTGGCCAGGGTGAAGTTGCCCCCAAGACTGCTTTTGGAAGTTCATCCCAAATCTGGGCTGGGGCTAAAGCCCCTCTGGAGGCAGAGATCCAGTCATGCTCGCCTGCTGCCCAGAGACAGACCCCAGACTCGGGAGAGGCCGGGCCCGCCCACCACCGCCCTTACCGACAGCTGGTACTGCACATCCGAGGTCCACACCTCCTCGTCCCCCACCACGCACGGGATGGCTTCCGTCCGGCCCTTCAGGTCCTTCAGGGCCTGAGGAGAGACAAGATGTCAGATGGGCACCTCCTCCCCCTCTTCTTGCACCTAAAACCCCACGCAGAGGCCGCAAATGCAGATGCTCAGGAGCAACAATAGAGAAGGCGGCTGGGCCGGCCGGGTCTGTGGCTGGAGCGTGTGCTCCCCTGGGGGGCAGCAGGACTCAGCCCCTCCATTGTCACTTCCTGTCATACAGGAAGGTGAAGCCAGCATTGCCAGGTTTTCCCGGTACAAAAAAAGATGCAAAAACGCTGCACCTGAAATTTACATGGAATCTCACAATTTTAAAAATATTGGCAATTAACCGGAAGACATTTTGAAGCACAAAACCTCTGTGATGGATGACCCCTGGCTGGCCCTCAGGCCCCAGGACCCTGGGGCTCCCAGCCTCTCCCATGCCCCCGACACACAGCCCTCCCCAGACCCGGGGTTCCTTCCAGGGCTGGGAGCAGGGGCAGGAGGGGGATGGCCCCAGGCACAGGAGCACGGGCGCTGAAGGCTCTCTGCTGCACGCCCTACACCCCAGGCCTCCCCCTCACCTTCTGCAGTGCGTCTCGCTCCGGGCTGCCCTTCGTGAATGCCAAGATGGGCTCGTTGGCCACCTTCAGGGAGGACGCGTGCTTCCACCGAAGCCTGGGTGCAGGGGCGGGGAAGAGGGCCACCGGTCAGCAGTGACCGCCCCAGACCCAGCCCCTCTGTCTCCAACAGGGGATCCTGGGTTGGCCCAGAATCCTACAGTCCAGAGCAACTCTAGACATGGGGGGATGAGACAGGCCTTGGGGTACACAATCCAAGTTCAAGTCCCAGTCCTGCTACTGCATGTCCTTGGGCTCGTGAGCTCCTCCTCGGAGCCCGTTTCTACACCTGAGGAGCAAGAGTCATCACACAAACACATGCTGTTTGAAGTTTCCATCCATAGATGCAAACCCATTTCTAAGTGTTCGCACCCGGAGAGGGTTTCCCCACAACGCAAACTCTACCCCCAAACAGACCCAGTCACCCCCTTCTCTCAGCTGAAAAGGCAGGGTCTCCCGGAGCTGGGTCTCCTCAGAGGGTGAGCCAACTGATCCCAGCACACAGAGCTAACTCAGGGTGAGGAGAAAGTCCACGATGTGGACCCTGACCTTGGAGGAGGGCCCTGAGCTCGGGTCACAGAACCAGGGAGGGCTGGTCTGGGGTTCAGGTCTCATTCCTGGGCACTGAGTTCCAACAACTCCTTGTTCTGAAGCCTCTATTCAGTCTGGAACCTGTGACCTCATTGATTCATGACCCCTGTGACTACCACCCCTAACGTGTCTGGGGGTCATGAGATGGGGGGACATGCGGGTAAGACTTTGGGGTCAGTTAATCCAGAGCTGGAGCCTCGGCTGTGGGACGTCTCCAGGCCTCCGCTTCCTCATCTGTAAGTGGGGACATTCTGCCAGCAGGTAACACGTGCAGGCCTGAGAGCACTCCACCGCATGGCAGGCCCCGCGGACGGCTCTCACCGGCGGCCCCGTTACAGAAATGAGGTCATTTAGGTCCTAAAGGGAAAACGGTTAGTTCAAGACCAAGATCAGGAGAGACCTGATTTGAATCCAGAAAAACCCGGACACCACCCCCCTCGGGTGTCAGCGTCCCCCGCCAGAGGCCAGTAGGAACGCGCCTGCATGTGGACAAAGGGGTCACTGCTCGATGCAGGAGCGAGAGGGCCCATCTGGGGGACACAGCCCCACATTTAGCGAGAGGGGGGACGTCTGGTACTTTGGGGGTGGCACGGTGACCTTGCCTTCACCTGTGCGTAGACAAAACCATGACGGGGGCTTGCGCCTCACTTCCTCACGGCCTCGGAGCGACCCTGTCTGGGGCCCGTGTCCTGGAAGCCGGCTGGTGCCCACTGAAACGGTGTGGCGCCCGGGGAGCCGGCCGGGAGGCCTGGAGGAAGCGCACAGAGGGGCTGTGCGGGCAGGCCCTGCATTCACCCTACACTCTGCTACACCCCGGATGCTGTTCCAAACGCTGGAGACCCAGCGGTGCCCAAGACAGCCAGGCCCCTGGCTGCACGCAGCTGACCTCCAGTGGGGGACACGGGACAGAAGGGACCTGACAATGAGGAAGTAAGGGGAAGGGTGGGGCCACTTCAGCCAGGGTGGTCAGGGAGGGCCTCCCTGAGGAGGTGAACTCAGCAGAGACCTGGAGGAGGTTTAAGAGGAGCTGGGAGATGGTCCAGGCCCAGGGGACAGCAGAAAAAGGCCTGTGTGGTTGAGGGGGCAGGGTGGAGTCTCCCAAGATCCCCAAGGGCAAGAGAGGCCTGGGACCTTCCCCCTCTCTGCCGCCACCCCACCCCCGAGCCACATCCACCAGGCCCAAGGAAGCTAGTCGTTTACCTCAGACCACCCCCACCCCCCACCCCCCCACCCCAGAAAGCTCAGCCTTCCAGTGACTGTGTGACCTTGGGCAAGTCTCTGACTGGGGATGATACCCATCTCGTGGGGTTGCTATGGAGAGCTGAAGAAATAATAATGCTAAGCTAGTCCGGCTGGTGTGGCACAGTGGTTGAGCATTGACCCATGTACCAAGAGGCCGCTGGTTCGATTCCCAGTCAGGGCACATGCCCAGGTTGTGGGCCTGATCCCCAGTGGGGGGCGCGCAGGAGGCGGCCGATCAATGTTGTCCCTCATTGATGTTCCCATCTCTCTCCCTCTCCCTTCCTCTCTCTCTAAAATCGATAAAGGAAAAACATATAGATCTATATTAATAATGCTAGGCTACAGAGGAGCTCCGCACACGGAAACCCCCTGCCCTCCACCTGCTGCAGTGGGAAGCGCGGGGGCCAGCAAGGACTGGCGAGGGGGCGTGGCGTCTACTCCTGGGGCCACCCCCTGCGGGCCTCGGGGGCAGGACACCTCACCGATCAGTAAGTCAGACTGTCAGGCCCTCTTCAAGCCAAGAGAGGGCCACTGAGTCGGCAGAGAATGACAGCAGGAGGAGGGCCACCCCACCCCGCTCTGAACCCCAGGTCCTGGGGGGGGGAAGGGCAGAGGCTCTGAGCAGACACATCCCGGACCCAGACCCACACCTGCTCCTAGACCTGAGCACGTGGTTATCAACTCGGAGGGCCTCTGCCCCCACCCGAAGGATGGGGCACTCTAGGTTCCCTGCAGGGCACTGGGAGGTCAACCTGCTGGCCTGCCCCACCCTCCTGCTCTAGGTTTTTCTAAGAAAAGTGGACAGGTCTTCCAGAATGTTTCCTCCACCACTGCAGGCTTTCGAAGGCAAACTGGTTCCCAGACACCCTCAAGGACTAGGGGCTGGTGCTCAACAAGTACTTCTGGAATAAACAGCGCCCCAGGGCAGAAGCTGAAAAACCTCAGAGCTACCAGCTCTCCTTCCCTGCTCCCTCCAGGCAGGGTCAGAACCAGAAACCCTGCAGGCCTCACTCCACCCTCCACCGTCCCCAGGGCAGGACCCCATGCCCTCAGGGCTTCCTCTATCCCTGGAAAATCCAGGCCCTCCTACAGCTGTCCTCAGTCTGAGTGTGGCCTCGGGACAGAAACTAGTTCAAAGATCAGCCCCGAGTCAACCAGGGCCAAGAAAAAAAAATCCAGGAGCTGCTGTCAAACTTTTTTTTTGGCTCATGGCCATTTGGGATCAACAGGGACACCCTTCCATTGGCTCAGGGCAAGGCCTACATGAATCACTCGCAAACCTGGCCTCTGTGAGATCTGCAAGGCCCTTGTAGGCAGGCCTGCATCATTCATTCATTCACACGTTCACTCATTCATTCATCCATGCACACACGCGGCCAGCACACATTTACTGCGTACCACAAGGATTCGGCGATAACGCAGTGAGGTCGAAAAGGCTCGTAGTTTTCCACCACACCTTTCCTGAGCGCCCACCAGGGCCTGGCTCTGGGGGCAGAGACCTTTCTTAGGGCAGCTCTCAGCCTCCCGACTTCAGGAAGGAGGCATAGGGCAGAGTCTGGATTGGCTCAGATTCCCTAACAGCCTGGGGTGCTCCTTTAGCTCACTGGGGACCCCACAGGCTGGCTGTAAGACTTTAGTACCCCTCTCCACCCTGTGCAGGTACCAGGACTGGAGCTAAAAAAGACACATCAAAACATCGCCTGCGACCGGAGACATCGGGGCTGGATAGAGCTGTGGGCCAGCCAATGCAACCGCAGGAATTTACAGAGGGGGAAACTGAGGGAAGCAGGGCGGGGGAGGGCTCAGCTCCCCTCCCAGGTTACCGACGGCCTACACCCTGGTCCACAGCACCGTCAGCTTTTGCCTGGACGACTGCGATGGCCGCTCCTGCTCCACTGTCACCAAGCTACTCTCCAAATCGCAGCCAAAGTTGTCGTTTCAACACGAAAACCTGATCACAGAGAGAGACAGGGTAGGCACTTGGCTCAAAACGACTCTGGTCTCTCATTTCTTCTGCAATAAAAAGGCAGAATCCTTGCCCTGGCCAGTTTGGCTCAGCGATTAGAGTGCCAGCCTGTGGACCAATGGATTGTGGGTTCGATTCCAATCCAGGGCGTGTACCTGGGTTGCAGTTAGTCCCCGGCCCTGGTTGGGGTCATGTGGGAGGCAACCAGCTGATGTGTCCTTACATCGATGTCCCCCCCACACACACACACACACTCTATCTGAAGATGAATAGAAAAACCCTTAGGTGAGGATTAAAAAGGCAGAACCCTCACTGAGGCCTCCAGTCCCACTTCCCATCGCCCCTACCAGCCGGACACCGCCCAGCCCAGGGTAAGATGTGAGAAATACCTTTCAAAACAGTCAGCACACAAGCAATGCCAGAGCCGACACCAGGCCCCCAGAACTGGACCCCCAGGCCAGGGTGCACCTGCTAACACCTGGGCTGGACGCAAGTCCCTTGGGCTCCCCAGGGGCTGAGGTCAGGAAATCTCCCTTGCTTCATTCAGCACCCAGGCTTTTCCAGCTGTTATCTGGGACTTGATTGGGTTAATCCTCCTTATCGCAGAGATAAGGGGCCAGCAGTGGAGGTGAACAGAGAAGTGTGGGCCCAGGGCAGGTCCAGAGGGAGGGGCATCTAGCCCAGGATGATGTGTTTCTACTTTATTGCCCCAGAAAACATCAAGGAACATTTATTAAGCACTTACAACATGCCTGGCACTATGTTAAGTGATTACCTCACTGAATCCACCCTACAAAGTATTATCACCTCCATTCCACAGAGGAGGAACCTGAGGTTAAAAGGTTACATTACTCCTCATGGCTCATGACCAGGTGACAGTAGGGTCTGAAGCCGGTCTTCCTCACCCAGGGGACATACGCTATGGCAGAGGCACCGGGATCACCTCCGAGACCCCTGGCCAGCTGGGGCTGGAGGGACAGGTTCATCCCCCTCGCCGCCCAGCGCACTTCCCACCTGGGGAAAGAGGCCCCCGAGAGGGCAGCGGCTCGCCCAGATCACACCGTTGTCCACTGGCAGTGCCTGCTAGCCCAGGGCTCCCCATCCACAATGTCTCCCCACGAAGGGCAGGTGTCTCCCCATCTCCTGGGAAGGGGGTGTGCATCAGGGTAATCATCAGAGTGGAGGGGAAGGGCTGAGGTCGCCTGAGCTCCACACCGACCACATCTGTGTGCCGCAGGGACCCCCTGTCTTGATGCTCCTGATAAAGGACAGCCACTCAGAGCGGCAGGGCGCGGGGAAGCGCGGTGCCAGCGGTCACAGCAGCACCTCCAGCTCGCCCTGTTTGGAGGATGACCTGCCCCAGGCTCGGCCCGAGAGCGCCGCCCCGCCTGGAGCCCACTCCCTCAGAAAGACGGGAGTTCCGGTCACCCCAGCCATCCTCCAAGTCAGAGTCAACTGGAATACCTCTATATTGGCCTCTGTTAATAAAATAATTTTCCATTTTGGTGTGTGATAGAGGCCATTACGGGACAAAGGGCAAAGTAACACCAAAGGAAAGTCTTGAAATATACACTTTATAAGGTATATAGACATGTCGTCTCTAGGTTGTACACCTAAGACTAACATAATATTGTGCACCAACTAGAATTTTTTTAAAAAGCATTCACAGATGAGCCTGTTTTTATGTTGTCTTTAAAACAGATATGTTCCTGGAGAGTAAGAGGAGATGAGTTAAAATGATGACAGTGGTGATCTGTGTGGTGAGCTTAAGGGGGATGTTTGCATTCTTTATTGCTTTATCTGTACTTTTTACTACGGATACATACTAATTCAATAAAAAGAAAACACAAGCAAAAGTATTTTTACAAATGGGTTGAGCCGCTGGCCGGTTTGGCTCAGCGGTTAGAGTGTCGGCCTGCAGTCCAGAGAGACCCGGGTTTGGTTCCTGCTAAGGGCACGTACTTTGGTTGCAGTTTGTCCCCAGGCCCGGTTGGGGTCGTGTGGGTGGCAGCCAGTCGATGTGTCTCTCTCACATCGATGTTTTTCTCTCTCACATCAATGTTTCTCTCTCTCTCTTCTTCCCTCTCTCCCTCTCGCTCTATCTGAAGATGAATGCAAAAAGTGTCCTCGGGTGAGGATTAAAAAAAAAAAAAAAAGAATTGAGATTCCTGGCACTCTGGGGAAAAAAGGTAAACGCTACAGAACATGGCTCCTCAAAAGAGGTGGTTTTTTGTGGCACTAAAATTCTTCACACAGGACACAGAGAGATCATTAAAACTGTCCAAAAATTGTTTCACCATAAATGTAGACATGGTCCGCCACAGATGTGTCCTAACTATTTGTCAAAGAAATGAACAAGTGACCAAACACCAAAGCTGTTGTCCTAGAGCTAGGATGCTCAACGAGGAGTGATTTTGCCCCCTAGGTGACATTTCACAATGTCACAACTGTGGGATGCTAATGGCATCGAGTGGGTAAAGGCCAGGAATGATGCTACACACCCTACAATGCACAGCACAGTCCCTGCAACAAGGATTATCATCCAGCTCAAAATGTTCATTGTGCCAAGGTTGAAAACCTGTCTAGGGCAGTGGGCCAGCTGCTGCATCGGAAGAAGTAACCTGACTCAGCAGATCTGGTTGCAAAATGCTTTCTCTCTGGTTGCAGAACGCTTTTTCTCCACCCAGGAGGCTTTGTAATTAAGGGCATAAATCTGGAGTCAGACTGAATGCAATTTTAGTCTTGTATCAGCCTTAATGGGCACATTAAGTTTGCCATCTGTAAAATGGAGATAATACAGTGCTTATCTGCACAGTGTCAGGCCTCTGGTATTTGACTGCTTGATAAATATTATTGTTATAATGAGCTTAAAAAAAAAAAAGAGTATGGATTGCTTTCTATCAGATACCAGAGGGTTTTTGTTTGTTTTTTTAATCTTCACCCAAGGATACTTTTTTTCCATTTTTTAATCTTCAGACAGAGAGAGGGGGAAACACTGATGTGAGAGAGACACATCAACTGGCTGCCTCCTGCATGACCCCAACCAGGGCTGGGTTACGAACCACAACTGAGGTACGTACCCTTGACCGGAATTGAACCTGGGACTCTCTGATCCACGGGCTGACGCTCTAACCACTAAGCCAAACCAGCCAGGACCAGAGGGGGTTTTTTGTTTTTATTTTTGTGTTTTACATTTAAGTCTTTCTCCCCCATTAGCACAGCGTTGCACATGACAGGTACTCAGTAAGCAAGTACATCTATGGGACTTCCATCTGAAGTCTGAGAGGGGTGATCTCAGAGTGCAGGGACAGGGTGAGGCAAGTATGGCCCTAACGCTGGCTGGGGAGAGGAGCCCTTCTGTCCCACATCCTCCTCCTGCGCCCTTCCCTATCCTATCAGCACCCACAGAAGGCACACAGCAGTGTTGAAACTCACCCCTGCCCAGAGCACCCCTATGCCATCCCTTGGGACACTGATTAACTCAGAAAGGGCCTAGCTCATCAGAGAAGACACAGCTGGTCACAGTCCAACAAAACTCAAAGTGGGTCAGGCAAACAAAACTCAAAGTGGGGGTAGGGGCTGCCCGGTTCTGAAAGGAAGACCCACAGAAACACAGGTCCATAAGGGGTCAGCCTCACCAAACTGCAAGGCCCTCTGAAGCAGGGTCTGTGTCCTACCTCCCCCACCCAGTCCACAGCAGGAAGGGGCTCTGAGAACATTTGTCACTGAGTAAGCAAGGGCCTAGGGGCACAACTCCACACTGTGGGGGTTTGCACTCCAATCGGAAAAGACACCTCGGAGTCTTCATCTGTGATTTGAAGTAACAGTATCTACCACGCAGAACTTAAAATACAAGCGAAAACGATGACAACTGGGCACTGTCTGTGTGCTTGCCACTGCTCGACGCACGGGAACGTTTTAACTCTTTCAGTCGTTACAATAAAGCATGTACCAAATCCTCGCACGGCGTTTGGCATGTTATTAGCACCCCATAAATATTATTCCACCCACCGCAAGCAAGGAGTCCTTTTTGTGCCCAACACTTAACTTGAGAAAAGAGGAAGAGGAAGAGAGAGGTAGAAGTCCGGTCGAGAGAGGAGAGGGAAGGCTCCGGGAATCCCAGAGGGGGTCCTAAGGTGAGACGGAGGGAGGGGAGGGGAGAGAGGCGTCCGAAAAATAGAGGTGCCCCGGAGGAAGCGGCGCACTCGGGCAGTGGGCATATTGCAAAGACTCCCGAGTGCGTAGGAGGATACTCTGGGAGCCGGGAGAGCAGCGAGGCACCCCACTTAGGCCGCAGATTCGGCACGGGGGTCGCCCTCGCTGAAGGAAGGAGACAGTGGGGGGCGGACGGGACGTAGAGGAAGCGACCCGGGCGGAAGAGAGCCCTCTGGGAACCCAGCAGGGGTCCGTCAGGGAGGGAGTGTCGCGTGGGGGACACCCAGCGACTCGCAGGACCCCGGGCCGGCAGCCGGCTCGGCCCGGTGCTCACTCACCTGGCCCCACTCCAGGGGCGGGCCAGCAGGGCGCGGCGCAGTGCGAGCGGCAGCACCTGCATCTCCAGCTCTCGGCGCGGCCGATCCTGGGACTGTCTGCCCTGGCGCAGCCAGACAGCGCTGCCCCGCCCGGAGCGCACTACCTCGGAAAGAGGGGGTTCCGGGGCTCCTCGGCCGTCTCCCGAGTCAGGGTCAAACGAAATACCTTTATATTTACCTATGTTAATAAAGTTATTTTCTTTAGTGCATGATAGAGGCCATTAAGCGGCATAGGGCAAGGTGATACAAAAAGAAGTCTTGAAATATACACGTTTCTCCCTCCTCTCCTTATGGTATGACCCAGTTGTCTTGCCGGGGCCGAGGGAGAGAGGGCGTGAACCCTATCGGCCAATCAGAGTGATACATGGAAGCTCCTGGGCCAATCAGAGGGGCGATTGTGTCTTAGTCTTCTAAGGCTGGGAGAGAGGGGCTGAAAGAGCCAATGAGAGAGCGGGAATGGGACACGTGTGTGGCGGGTCGGCGCGTCAGGTGCGGGCAGATGATCCAGCCAGACCGCTTGGGCAGCCCTTGGGCTGTGGCTACCGCTCTCCTTCTCCGCAGGGTCACACCGCAGCCAGCCCCCGCTCTCCCCGTGGGGTGCAGCCCCTGCCTCCAGCTTCCTGGCCGAGACCCAGTAACTTTCTACTTCCCGGCCTGGCGCCAGACCACCCAGCTTCCCGGGGCCTGGTGCCTAGATAAAGTAGTTTGAGTCTTTGAAGATTAAGGTCAATAAAAGATAAAATCCGAGTTGGTCTATGCCTAGCTTTTCCTTCAAAACCTCTGACCGTGGAACCAGTTGCTCCTGCGCTTTACATATTTCCGCCCCCTGGACCAAAATGTCACTTTTCTCTTGGAGAAGCTTGGTGAAGGCTTGAAGGTTATTTAAAACTCGGATTCTGAAATCTTTCTGATGACAGTCTTAGGGACCCATTCTATGCCTAAAGTACTGTTACAGCTTTTCTTACACTCTCTTCCAATTTATCTGTGTTTAAATCTCCTCCAGCAGCGGGACCCGAGAACCTGCTTAGGAATGGTTGCAATGTTTATTGTGGTTCCTCCCTATGACATTGACAAAATACATGAATTCTCTGGGCCTCAGTCTCCCTATCTGTAAAGTGGGGGTAATATGCCCACCTTAGAATGTCCTTATTATGTCATGCCACCCTTCCTATAGAAGGTCACACTTGGGGAATATAAACAGTTGGGAGTGGGGAAAAGAAAGTACAATAATCGTTAAGTCTTGGAAAAGGCAAAAAGTGACTTGGGATTGATGGTGATTGTTTCATTTCATCCTTGAGGAAAACCCTAGTCGGGGGGCCCGGTTCATATAGGACAATGTCTTCCTGAATATGGCCACTAACAAGAAGAAACTAGAATATTGGACAATGTCAAATCCAGGTGGCCTCAAGGGCACTGTGAGGAAGTTTAAGAAATGGGGGTTTGTGTTAACAGGGACCTCAATTCCAAACCTGGGATGCCAATTCTTCAGCCTGTGATCCCTCTGGCTCTTGCTTCCCCTTTTGTGAAATGTATAAAACAGATCCCGCTTTCCTTACCTGTAAAGGTTTCATCGTGAGATGCAAATGTAACAGGCGATGTAAAGTTTCCCTATTTTGTCACCAATTGGCTAATTAGTCTGTATTAGTGTTCGTGTGGTCCTCCGTCCTCTTGCCCCTCCCCCATCACCACTTTATCCCCGGCTTTAAAAAAAGGGGGGCACCATCAGTTCTAAGACATTTCACTTTATTTAAAAGAAGCCAATATACAGGATATAAAGGGCATGATATTTACAACAGTACAGTAAACAGGTCGGTTTCCCAGTAGGATCAGTAGTCTTTCGATGAGTATAAACCACCCTCCCTTCCCCCTGATGTTAGACCCAGCTGACAGTCAAACAGCAACAGTGGGGTGGGATGGGACTACAGGATAGAGTCTCCCTGGATGGGATTAAAAATCAGGTAGATGCTAAAATGTCCACGAAGGGGTCTCGGGAGTGGAGGGGTGCCTTTGCCTCATTTCTTTGAGGGCTTGGCAGTAGGGATGGCAAGGGATTTGCTCAAGACTGACACACAGCCCACCCTGAGCCTGGAAATCTTCCACCCATGGAAAATTCCCTTCCAGAGAGACTCTGCCCTAAGCCCCCATCCAGGGCCCTGGAGGAGCGCTTCAAGGTTGGCCCCCAGCCAGAGGGCACAGCCAGGACTGTGGGCATCCCATGGCATTTCCACTCCCACTCCAGCTGCCTAACAACCTGGGAACCACTCGGGCTCTAGAGGGTCCCAGGCCCCAAAAAAGCCATGCGGTCCCTGAACCGACAGCCCCGCTGCCGCCACACTCCCAGCTCAGCTGACTGGGAAATGGATCTTGGCAAAGTTCGAGTAACTGATCGGAACCCACCCTGGGCAGAGCTTGTCCCCTGTCTGGTTCCCCCTTTCCCTCCCCCCGCCCACTTCAGTTCTGAATTCTCCACTGCCCACCCACTCCCACAGTGCCCTCCCCCCTAAGACTTCCAAGGACCCAGGAGCTGGGGGACCAGGGAACAGGGAAATGGGGTGAGGTGGGGCCTACATTCTGCTGAAGCCGGCTCAAGGGTGTGGACGAGTAGGAGGTGAGGACAGGGAGACAGGGGTACCGATTATATTCAGTCCAGCAGCAACATGCACTGTGCCCACAGGAAAATGCTGGGCTACCACAACTGCCTACCCTAGATTTAAAAACCTTTCCTTTCATAAAAATAGATGAGAGTCTCTTGCTTTATAAATAGATTAAATTTAGCTTAAGTTACACCTTATATTATCCCCTACCCCACACCCGCTCCCTCATCCCAAGCCAAAGAGGTTTGGTTCTCCCTAAATCATATGAACCGCACCCACAGAGCTAAGTCCGAGATGGACTGGCCCTTCAGAGACCAGTCCATCAAGACATATTGCCACAAGGAAACAAAATGTGTTCACTTGCCAAGAATTTTGTCCCCTGTTCGGAGTCTCAGAGGAGTGTGTGTGTGTGTGTGTGTGTGCGTGCGTGTATATTCCACAACCAGGGAAACACAAGGAATTACTCTCCCTGCCCCTCCCCAACCCTCTCTTTTTACAAAACCCCCAAAAATAGGAGGGTGAGAGAGGGCAGCACAGGAGAGCCCATCTGAGAACAATCTAAAATACCAATGTCAATATGACACCGGGCTTAGAAATAGAAAACCAAAATTAAGTATTTACAGCTTTACAAAGGACGGACCGGCGTGTCCCCCTGGACCTGGTGCTGCCTCTGCGAGCGAGCGTCGGGGTCTTTCGTGGCCGGGGTCTTTCGGGCGGACCGAGCTAGGCCCTCTGGCAACTAACTCAGAAAGGAACTTGGCGGGGAGCAGGGCAGGACCCTGCCCAGGAGGCGGGTCACCACACCTTTGCTGTCCCCGCCCCACCCACTTGCCCCAGGCCCTTGCTCCCCAGGAGAAAGTAGCTACTGAAAACCAGCCACTATTTGTCTCTGGCTCCTGCCATTTCCATGGTCCTTGAACAAATTCAGAGTCCCCTAGTCCCCAGTGACAAATGTCTACAAAGGGGGAAACAAAAATAATACCACTGGACACCAATCACTTTAGTTACCCTCAAAATACACTGTTGCCTTACTGTCTTAATTCTAAAGATAGGTTTGTCCCCTCCCACCACCTGGAGGGGCAGCCCAGGGCTGGCTTCCACTCTGTCTGGCGGCCCGCACCTTTCGATGCCTCCCTAGCCCTGGCGGCCAGGCCTGCAGGGGTGGCCATTCCCCGCCCTCCTGGAAACGGAAAATCTTTTTAGCAGCTGAGGTCCAAGCCCAAGTGGCTCTGATAACCTTTGGTTAAAATAAAGCTAAAGTAAAACAACAACAACAACGGCAATAATAATCAGGTATGCTTGAACCCTGTAACCTTTAGAACAAGGGTTGTAAGGAGGAGGGGGAGGGGCGGTCTCTCCTCCGAAACCATCCTCCTTTCTAGTACCTACCAAGGGACCACGTAGCTAATAAGAGACGCTGGGCACGGAAGCCTCTCGGCCAGACTGCCACAGGGAACAGTATGAGGTTTCCTCAACAGCAACAAATTAGAAAGAAAGAATAAAGGCCACCAAGATCTGATAAATAAAAATAACACAGTCACTAACACTCTTTTTTTCTCTCTCTCCATATATGTATATATATATATTATGTGAATATTATGTACAATGGTTTTAAGACTGAAAAACAGATGGAAAAACAGAAGAGAAAGATGGCCCTTAAAGGTGGTTGGTACCCCGGGGGAGGAAAGACTGGGGGCCACAACCTACTCAAAGCCAGAACCTGTCCTCTGCCCTAGACATAAGCCCTGGAGGTCAGGAGTCCTGGTCCTTGGGCACAGTGCACTCCTTTGACCTCCAGGAGGAGCTGCTGGGCCAACAAAACCAAAACCGGCAACTCAGACCCACAGGAGTGAGTACAAAAGAAATTTTTTTTTTAAAAAAGCAAAGCCTGGTCAGCTGGCTCCAAGCTGAGGTTTGGCGGGTGGTCTCAACACAGCGCTCTTCAACCCTGGTCCACTCAAGTCTTGGGGAGATACTGGCTCAATCACTCCCCAACTGGTCAGTCAGTGAAGTTTGGGAAGAAGCTTGCATATGTCGGACACGGACGATCCTCCCTGGAGTGCCCACTCCCGCCACCTTCAACCTGCCAGCGGCCCTCCCTCCTGCTCCCTGTCCAGGGCCTGCCAGTGACCCAGCGTGGCCGACTGGGGCACAGTGGGGAACCAAGAGGGCAGCAGGCGGGCCTCACCTGGCTCCGCTGCAGAAGGGGTGGTACCAGGCCCGGCTCCCTTCACTTTCTCACAGAGAAATTACAGATCTATAACCCCTTGTAGCTGGCTGGAAATAGAGGGGAAAACATCAAGTCATCAGGGCAATAGAAGACCCCCCGCCCCAACCAAACCCACAAAGGTCCCAAGAAAGCAAACTGTCCGGTGGCCAAGGGCCTTGCAGGACCCAGGCCTCTTTCCTCATCTTGGCCAAACCCCCTCCGCGGTTGCAAGAGACGTCGCCCGGCTTGGGCCTCCCCCAGCTCCAGGGCAACACCTTGAGTCTGGGAGCAGACCTGCCTCCCACAATACATAAGGCAAGCTGCTTTGTTTGTTTTGTTTTTTGCATAGTGGTTTAAACACAGTGAGGCTCCACCTTCCCCCAGTGCCTTGTGCCTCCGCTGTGCCACTCGATCCAAAAATAAAATAAAAATTTGTCTTCCCTCCCTCCTTCCATCGTTTCCCCTTTTGGTAAGTGAAAATCCTTAGGCGGTCCCCACCCAGGTGTGGAAAGTTTGCAGAGGCAAACGGCTCCGTCCTGGGTGGAGGGAGACCACCCCAAGCCCAACTCCATCAGCACTGGCCAGCAGAGGAGGGGAGGGCATAGGTCATGGCCAATCAGAGGAGCAGGTGGGAGGGTAGAAAACCACAATATACCACACGGGGCCCCGCCCTCACCTTAGAGTTTTGTATAAAAACACCTGCTAGGAAGAATTCTTTGGAGCTCAAAGTGGCTCAGCTTAAGGGAAAAGGCACGGTTAACACTGCATCATCTGGACAGAAGTCTGCATTTGTAACATGGAGAATAGAAATTGAGAGCACCATTCCTTGGGTGGGTGGGTGGAGAGGGGGCACTGGTTGATGGTAGGTGGAAGGGAGGAAGGAAGCAGCAGTCCCTTGGGGCCTCCAGAGAAGGGGGGCAGAGGAAGTCTGTGTTGAGGACGGGAGCCCACTGTGAGCCGTCCTGGCCTCGTGGGGAGAGGGGCAGAGGCCCCGTCACCAAATCCACCAGGCGCGGGGGCCTCCGTCATCAGCTGACCATGGGCTCCACATCCGCCTCCCGCTCGAACTCGTCCTGGATCTCGTCTGTGCTTCCTGAGTCGCTGCTGGCCACGGAGCTGGGGGACGGTGAGTTCCTGGATGGCACAAGAATGGGGGACGGTCAGAGGGCAGCCGGAGGACCCCTGAAGGTATTTAAGGAGTGGGAAGGGCTCAGAAGCACTCCTGTGAGCTCTAACCTCAGAGGGGGTCCTCTCCTGAGACCCTGCCCGTGCTCTGCTTTCCTTAGACTCTCCTAGGCTCAAGGCTTTTGGGGGCCTCCTGCACCAGCCTCCGATTGCTCTGGGTACCAAAGGCCCCTTGGGAGCAGAGACCATGGATCAAGCTGGGTTCTTACCCTCAAACCCCCTAGCACAGGTCTGGGCACATAGTACGTGCTCAGTAAACCGCAGTTAACTCAGCTCCCAGAGGAGGCCATAATGGATAGTGGTTCTTAGCACCGGGCTAAAATGTTGGCTCTGTCCCTGATGAGCTGGGGGACCTTGGGCAAACTCCCTAAACTGCCGAAGCTCCCACTCCTCCATCTGCACACCGGAGACAATGACAGCAGGATCTGGGGGAGTAAGCCCAGGGCCCCACAGGCAGCTTCCCGCGGAGCTGCCCCTCCCGCTTTTACGGCCCGAACCACAGCCTGCAGGAATAGTCATCGTCAGAGAAACCATCGCAATGAACATGTATGCCGGGCAGTTTACACGTATTATCCTGGTTCATGAGTAGCGTGGCTGTCTCCCCAACGAGGCTGCATGTTCCGGGAAGGCAGGGGCTCCCCGTCTTTGTTTTAATAAAAGGGGCCCAAAGCACCTGGCCCTGGGTTGGAATATGGGAAAGGACGTGAAATTGCTTCTCATGCACGAATGGGGGTCCCATCAGCCAGGTGGAAAGGAGTGTCCTGCCCATGCCCTCCACTCCCCCACTCAGCAGAAAGTGGGGTGTAAGCTCCCCGAGGGCAGGGGCCATGACTGTTGCTTCCATCACTGTATCCCCATGGCCTTGCACAGAGCAGGCCCCCAGCAAGCAGCTGTCGAGTAGGTGGTGCAGGGAGTTAGTGAAGTTGGACAGGTGAGTCACCCAGCACACAGCAGGTAGGTAACTAGCATTCCCTGGGTGGACGGGTGGACGGACACGTGGGCTGGGCAGATGAAACAGGCAGGCTTGTAAGTTGTAGCCCCACAAGCTCCTCGCAAGCACCCCGCTGCTGCGGGAGGACGGGCCACGCACCTGTCTGCGGAGCCCTTGATGAGCCGGCGGCAGGTCTCCATCTGCACGTCCAGGCCGCGCTTCATGCTGCACATCTCCATGTACTCGTGCAGGTGCCGGTTCATGTCGCTCTTGGCTGTGGCCAGCTCCAGCTGCGAGGAGCCGACACGGGACAGCGTGAGGCCCAGTCATCCTCCTGGCAAAACCCTCAGCGAGTCCCTCCTCACCACCTGCGGGACAGCAGCCTCGCGGCCACCCCGGCCACCGCAGGGCCCTGCAGAGGAGTCCCTGGCCTCTAGAACTGCTTCAGATGAAAGGGGGCTAGTTGCTTAGCAACGAGAAGGGCAGCCTCCCGGAGGAGCCCTGCCTGGTCCTGTGACTCCGCTCTGCCCAGCATCTCCGCACTTTCTACGGACTCGATTAGAAAAGTTCTCCGGTCTCTCATATTGGACCCTTCTCCTCTGCCACGTGGTACATCCCCCAGGGAAGGAGCCTCCCTTTCTCCAGCATGACAATAGCAATGACCCTCACTGACAGACATGGCCCAGTGCACAGGTTCTCGGGCGAGGCTGGGCTCGAAGGCTGTTTGTTGGCTGGAGGCCTTGGGCAAGTCATCGGTCTTCTCTAACCTCTTGCCCTCCTCTGTAAAACAGGGCGCTCAGCCCCTACTGCTAGGGCACCTAGGTCCCTGCAACTCCATACTAGGGTATGTGGACACTAGGGAGGGTGTACTTGTTAACGGGCTTACTCAATGCCTAGTGTCACTTGATGTCACTCAAATATCAGCTCTCGTTATTTTGAGATCACCATCTCAGTTCAATAACTTTTTTAAAAACCTCTTGGGCAGCCAAGGATCACCACCCCCATTTTACAGATTAGGAAACTGAGGCCCTAAGAGGGCTATGGCTTTCCCAGCACCAGGCAGGGCATCAGTAGGCCTCCTGACTTCCGAGCCTGTGGCTGCCCCAGGCTACCAGCCCCTGCCCTGTGGCCACGAGTCCCCAGGGGTCTCGACCAGATGACCTCAGGGAGCCTCACCTCGATCTGGCCTATCGTTTCCTGGTACTCCTTGTCTCTCGTCTTGAAGAAGGATTCTGTCTCGTGGATCAAGTTGCCCAAGTTCTCCTCTTGCTGAGGAAACAGAACAAAGGGGACAATTTAGCTGGGTGGCGAGGGCATCAGGGAGAGAACAGGGAGGAGGATCACTGAAAGCAGGTGCCCGGCCCCCACCCCCCAGCCCTGGGCAGGCCAGGCCCCAGGCTCACCTCGCCCTGCAGCTCGATGGAGGGGTTGCAGTTGGTGAAGTCCTCCCAGAGCAGCAGTGTGTCTTCGTTCTCTTCCCACGTCAGGCTGTCACAGTCGTCGTCAAAGTCAAAAGTCTCCCGCCTATGGGGGTGACACGGGAGGGCACGACTGAACAGGAGCCAGGCTCCGGGGCCAGGATGGGACAGAGACAGGGGCACTGCAAGGTGGCCCTCCAAAAAGACAGGGGTGGTGGCAAAGGGGATATGCGCCTTGTCCATGGAGTTGAACTCTTTTAAAATGCAGAATGTTTTTACATACTCTGCACAATTTAAAATGTATATTTTTATAATGCAGGCTTTCTTATCAGTGGAGACTAAACGCATTTTCCTCCCAAGTCCAATCTTGTAACTTTTGCATTCGGTACATAGCTCATTTCGTGAGCCCTACTTTGTGCGAGGAGATTTATATAATCTCTGCAACTTGGAATGGTTGATATTATTCCCATTCGCAGATGAGGAAATTGCAGCTCAGAAAGAAAAACTCACTTGACCCAAGTCACCCTGCTAGCCTGTAACAGAAACTGGCTGAAAGCGAGTTCTGCTCCCTACGGCTTTCCCCGCCCCGCCAGAACATCGCCGAGCGAGCGCACACAGGGACTGTCGCAGACGGGCTCCACGCACGATACGATGCCCTTCACGCTATCCCCACAGCAATCCTGAGAGACAAGCCCGATTATCATTCCCTCTTTACAGGTGAGGAAACTGAGGCTCGGAGGGATTCAGTGGACTGCTAGAACAATAGATGCTGAAAATCAGATTTGAATGCAAAGACTGGGTGATTTCGGGGCTCCCCTATTCACTAGGACTGGAAGTAGGGGAATAGGCCACACAGGCTTGCCTGGGACTGAGGGGTTTCTGAAGACTCATGGTTACCCCAACTGGAGGGGACCTTAAAAATCATTCAGCCCAACACACCCAATAATCAGGTGAGAAGGTTCATATTAAGTTACTTGACCAGATGAATTAACCAAAAAGGAAGTGGACCCCAAGTCTCCAGATTCCCATCCAGGGGCTCTCCCTCCTGCTTACACTCCCTCCCTCAACTCCTTCCTGGATTCTCCTAACCTTTCAAAAATGATCCAGGCTGTGGGCCACTGGGCAGAGCCCAAGAAAAAAGAATCTCTGGTAAAAAGCGGCCCAGAGCACCCTCCCAGGTTCCTCTCCAAAAAAAGCAGTTCCTGCCAGAGCCTGTAGGTGGCTCTGTGAGTCCGGGCAGCAAAGCCCGGGCCAGGGCTGCAGCGGGCGGAGCCACGGAGCTGGACTAGCTTCAGACAAGCCCCTGGGGTCCACTGTCACCACACCACATACCCAACATCTGACTTCACTTCCTTCCCGGGCCTGGGATCTGAAGGAAACCCCAGATGAGGAATAGGAAGCCAGGAAAGAAGGGAAGATGGACCCGAGAAAGGGCTGGGAAGAGGCGACCCCTGTCCCACAGATCGCGAGGGCGGGGCTGAGGAGGAGGGCTGGCCACCAGACACAGAAAGTAGCAAATTCCTCCCCTTTCCTTGTTCTGTCTGAAAGCCAAGCAACTGATTTTGATCACAACAGCAGTCCTGACCCAGTGCGTTATCCAAGGACCTCTGGGGCTGGCCGGGGGCAGTCTCTGGCTTGGTGAGCTGAGATGTCCGAGGGAGGGGCCAGGGCTCCACCCAGGGTGGGGTCAGCATGGCCTTGGCCAGAAATGCAAGGGTGGCGGGGGTGAACAGAGGATATATATTTTTTAATTTGGGCAACTTCACCACCAGATCAATCTAATTTCATACCCACAGGAATCGGCCATGGCGCCCCTGGACTCGGTTCTTGGGACTGTTTCAGTTCACCCTGACTCCCTGGTGACTTTATGAAAATGAGGACAAAGATTTCTTCAGAGAAGCCCTTGAATGCAACCAAATGGGCCCAGTGTGGGTCTGTGGGACATACAGCTCCGCCTTAGGCTCGGGAAGGCCCGGAGGAACGTTCAGAAAACCTAGGCCCGACCGACGCTTCTCCCCAAACCCTTCTCATCAGCAAAAACTGAGCATATGAGAATTGGAGTTGGGGGTGTCAAGAGTCTGGAAGTGTCCTTGTCACCTACAAATAGCAATCCCTAAACCACAGCCCCATCTCGGTTCTGCTTCAGGGGGGCCGCCGTACAGGGGAGTGTGGGGCAAGCATCCCCACGGCGGAGAGAGCGGGCGGAGCAGGTCACTGGGGCAGGGAGAGGCGACCCCAGAGACCCCCCCAGCCCTGCCCCCTGACTCCAGGCCCTTAGACAAGTCACCCATGCCCACCTCTCCCCTCCCCTTCCCCACCCTTCTCATCAGCAAAAACTGGATCAGGGTTCAAACTGGATCAGGTTGAGAGCACGGACCTGGACCCGCCAAGGCCACAAAGCATCCCTGCCCCAGACAACTCTCCATGGGGAGTTTCAGGTAAACCCGCTGGGGTTGGGGGGCAGCCCTGCCTGGTAGCATCTGTCCATTTTCCACCCTGGCAAACTTTAAGCTACAAATGTGGCATCACTCCATCACTGAACCTGGCACGGGCAGATGGGCACAATAGCTTCCGTGAGCTGGTACAAGCTGGCTCCAACCCACACTGACCATGTCCAGCCCATGTTCTGCCACTAACCCAGCAGCCCCTCAGAGAGAGAGGACACAGGCAGGCGGGCCTGGTTCCGCACCCTAGCTCTGCACGAAGGAGCAGAGTGGTCTCGGCCAAGCGGTCCCTGGAGCCTCAGCTTCCTCATCGACAAAGGGGGAGTGATCACCCCACCTCCTAGCTGATTGTCTAGTCGATGCAGTCACGTTTGTACAGCGTCCTACAGATGGAGGGTGCGAGGCCAGCGTGCTGAGCCCGCTGTGACGCTCAGCTCAGCCACCCCACCACAAGAAAACTAGTGGGAGTGGGCCTAAGACTTGGTCCAGACTCCCCCACAAACACAACCACCAACCCCATTTGGTCCTTTCTAAAAATGTGGAACTCCCCAAATTATAAAGGCGAAGAATGAATGCAAATGTGTTCACTATGCTGGCCAACAAAACCCACGTGTGGGCTACTTTCAGCCCAGGCCACCAGTGTGCCACCCCTGCCCTAGTGACCTGGGGAAACGGAGAGGAGCCCCCAGCCGGGGCAGTGGAAATACTCACAGCTGGTTAAACATGCGCTTCATCTCGTCTGTGATGTTCATAGAGCCGACCTCTTCATCTGAGAACCGGTTCACCTCCCCGTCCTGCTCAGAGATATCCTCGTCCGAAGTCACCTTGCGCTCTTTCTTTTTGGGGACCACCTAACCCGGAAAGGAAGAGATCAAGGTAAGTAGGAGGCTCTGCCAGGATGGAGGGTAGGCATGGGCTGGGCAGGGAGCCAGCATCCCATGGGACAGGTGGAGCATGGCTGGGGCCAGCCACTGCCGGGAGAGATGCACACGTCCTCTAAGAAGCAGGTGACGTTAGCAGGAAGCATGAGGTGGGGAGACATGCGGATGGAGGACACCGACAGACTGGACCCTTCCCTGCTTTGGTGGTTGGGCCAGTTCAGCTCACCCCTTCACCAGAGAAGCAGCCACGAGATCTGGGGAGAGGAGCGAGCTAGACTGGGGTACACAGTCACCTGGGATGTCTCAGCGCCAGCCAGAGACACAGAGAAGCCCTCACGGAGGCCCAGATGGCTCCGTGCGCCCCAGAGCCCTCCTGTTCACATGCAAAGGTAACAGGCGGGCGGGAGGCCCATGTTCACCAAGCTCCCTCCACTCCAAGCAGACAAGACAAGAGCAAACCAAACAAAGGCTGAAATGGTGCCCCTGCTTTCCAGAGGGGCAGCGAGAAGGCCCAGAGGTGGACCGAGGACCGAGGGAAGCCCAGATCTCACCTGGCTACATCCAAAGTCACACCCTTAAAGCAACAACACACGGTATTGCCCTGGGCTCAAGCGAAAGCCAAACCACAACGCAAACTCAGGAAGCGGCCTTTGGAGAATGACGCGTGCCCTCCGGCAGCTGGCCGAGCCAGCCCCCAGACCCTCCCCAGGGACAGCCGCAAGTGAACCCATCGCCTCTTCTCAGGACACACACACTTGCTCATGGAAGGGGAGGGGTGGGAGACTGGGGGCCTCTTCAGGGGGAATGAAACAGTCAGAGGTCAACAGCTCGTCCTTGGAATTCTGAGGCTCATCTGCCAGGGCCCAGGCTGGTTCACCAGGGACCCCCAGCCTGGCACCCGGGCAAGAGGCAGGAAGCCACACAGTGAACCCAGCATGGGCAGGTGGACAAAGCCTTGCAGGGTCGGGAGACCTGAGCTCTAGTCCCAGCTCTGCCATTTCCTTCCTTGAGCCCAACATGACACCCCGGGTGAGTGGTCTCCTCAGCCATGGGATGAAGCCGTCAGCCTTGATGATGGAGTTGGACCAGCCTATGAGTCTACTGGTCCCTGTCTACGTTCTCCTGGGGAGGCCACGCTGCCGCTGGGGGAGTGGGGCAGTGGGGGTGTGAGGGAACAGGGCAGGCGGGGGCTGAGGCCGGGCTCTCTGGGAGGTGGAGTGGTGGTGGGAGCAGCGGAGGTGAGCAGGGAGGCCCTAGTCACCTGGAAGATCTTGGACACGTCTTCCGAGTTCCGCTGCTGTGCGACATCGCACAGCTTGGCCGTGATATCGATTCGGCGGCAGATGTCCATGTCCACCTTCATGGCCTTTTCTTGGATCTTTGTGTCCAGGTCTGTCATGGGCTGCAGGGAGGACAGCAGGGGTTACGTGAGCACGGGCCGGAGCAGGCACGGGGTGGGGGCGTTGCTCCCAGGCCCCTGCTGGACAGAAGGGCGGAGACCCTAGGTGTGCGTGGGAGGCCCCGGAGTCGGAGGGGGCCTTGAGCTTTTCCTGGGTGCTCAGGTCGGGGCCGGGGGAGGGGCCATGGGAGCTAAGGCTCTGCAGAGTGGACAGTGTGAGAACAGGTCTGCCGTCCCCCAAGGCTGGAAGATTCTCTCAGCAGACATCGTCAGTGTTCATGGTTAGAGCGAAGAAACACGAAGGCGGCCCCCACAGGTGGAAAACGTCCCTTTCCCATCAGCGCGCCCCACTTGTCCCCCACAAAGAGGTGCCTGCCAGGGCAGCTCTCTCTCTGACAGCGGGGGTCTGCCCAGGCCAGGTTGAGGGTCCCCCTGGACCCCAGGAAGGGGAAGCCAAATGGCCTCCACCTGGAGCCCTGGGAGGCTCCCCCCATCCACACCCAGCTTCACGCCCTCAGGACCAGAAGCCACACCAGGCTGAGTCACCCATGACCGGGCTCTCCCTACACACTTCCCGCTGCTGGAAGGTGGCAGGAAACCCAGGTCCCCGCAGGAAGGAGGCCTGGGCCGCCGACAGCTCCCCTCACCCACAGTTACTCAGAAGAGCTTGATTGTCCAAAGGGCGCACACCCAGGCCCCCCCAGACCTTATACCGCAGCCCCGCGGAAGGCCACTGGCCTGGGAGCCTCAGGCTGGCATGGCCCGGGGCCCCGTCAACCTGTGCTCAGACACTGAGGCCCACGGCCACCCCCCACAGCATGGCGAGCTGGGGAAGAGTCAGAGCCGACACACACAGACCCCCAGGGGCCCGGGAGGGCGGGATGGGTTAAGCAGCAGATTAATGCATCTCTATCAGACCAAGGGAAGCGGGGGTGGGGCGGGGGGATGCCTGGTCTTGATGCACCCTCACGCAGCCAGCCTGCACTCTCACTAGAAGCCGAGCTCCAGAGCCTCGGAGTGAATGAAGCATTTTGCATGACGGGTGTGGGCGGAAGTTGTGACACCTGGGGGCGGTGGCCAGTGGCACTTACGTCACTCATGAGCCCCTTAAACACCACCAGCTCGGCCTTCAGCCTCTCGATCGTCTCATTCATCTCCTCCTGGATGGCTTCGGCCTCCTGCGCTGCCTATGGGGATGGAGATGGGGAGGGTTTAGGGGGCGGCACCCCGAGGGTAGGAGGGGCTGGACACCTGGGCCCAATCAGGCCAGGCGCCGATGGCTGGGGAAGGAGTGCAAGGACCTCAGCCCAGCCTGACTTCCAACCACGCAGCTTAAAACACTTCTCAAAGGAGCCCCGGCCTGTTTGGTCAGCGGTTAGAGCGTCAGCCTGTGGACCAGAGAGTCCCGGGTTCGGTTCCCACTAAGGGCACGTACCTCGGTTGCAGTTGTCCCTGGCCTTGGTTGGGTCGTGTGGGTGGCAGCCAGTCGATGTGTCTCTCTCACATCGAAGTCTCTCTCTCTCTCTCTTCCCCCCTCTCTCCCTCCTGCTCTATCTGAAGACAAATGCAAGAAAATGTCCTCAAGTGAGGATTTAAAAAAAAACTTCTCAAAGGAATATTTACAGCGTGGGAACCCCATGGCAGCGAGGGAGAGACGATGAGCAGGTTACAGCAACGGTGATCCCAACAGGCTAAAACAGTAGTTGATTCACGGGAAATAGCCAATATGGGACCATCCCTGGCATCCAACATGGCAAGGTCACGTGCGTCACCCTAGCCGAACGTACACCTGGAGTATGTATGTTTGCACAGAAAAGACCGGAAGGCGGCGACCTGTATGTCAACAGCAGGGGCAGAACTGGAGGGGAGCTGCATTTTCTTCTCCAAGCTGTTCTCAGCTTTCCAAATATTTGAGCATAGACGTGTTATGTTTGCAAAGTAAAAAGCACTTTTGTTATAAAAACGGGGGATGTTCATCCTCCCCCTTCCACGTATTGACAATATTTTATCTGCCTCTAATTTGCTTAGAAGAGAAATGTTTTCAATACCAGAAAGCGATTTTTTAAAATATTTACTAAATTTTTTTTTTTATTCTCACCCGAGGACATTTTTTCATTTTTTGTTCAGATAGAGTGGGAGGGAGAGAGAGGAAGAGAAAGAGAAACATCGACGTGAAAGGGACACATCGAGTGGCTGCCACCCGCACGACCCAACCAGGGCCGGGGACAAACTGCAACCAAGATACATGACCTTAGCGGGAACCGAACCCAGGTCTTTCTGGGCGCAGGCCGATGCTCTAACCGCTGAGCCAAATTGGCCAGGGCCGATTTTTAAAAATATTTAAAGGAGCGTTCCGTGCTTCTCATGGGGTCACTATTCTTGCACCCATTTGACTGAGAGAAAACGAGAGGCCGGGAAGCTGAGGTCTGTTGCTTAGGGTGCCCAGCAGACAGATGAGCGCAGGGCCCAGAACACAGAGCTACCAGGCAGAACAGCCAGGGAGGTCCTCACGCCATGGAGAGCCCGCGAGGGCTGGGAGCCCGCCTGGTGACCTGCCCTCTGCCCTCTCCCAGGCGGTCGGCCCCACGTCAGTTCCTCAAGCTGGGGGCGGCGGGGCCTAGACACCATCCGTCCAAGCCTCAGATGGGGAGAAGAGGCAGGAGAAGGGAGGCACTCGCTCAGGTCACCCCACAAGCCGGGGTAGCACCACAGCTTGGACCCAGCCTTCCCAACGACTGTACCCGAGCTTTTCTGCAACACTGTGCTGGTCCCTTCCTAGCTCCAATCAGGGGACACAGAAGAGGCCTCTTGGCTCCATCAAGGAGAGACTGAAGCAGCAGGAGGTAGCCCAGACTGGGGACTGCCCTGGCTCTGCCCCCTGAAGACTGTGCCCCTGTCCACATGGTTCTCCCGCGAGCCTCTTCTGATCGGGACCCCTGGCGGCTCTTACCTCCTTCAGCGTGTCCACCATGGTCTGCAGGTTCATGCTCTTGGCGAGCTCCTCCTCCCATCTGTAAGAGCCAAGAAGGACAGGTGGTCAGAGGACACAGTGCAGGCAGTCACCTGGGCCTGTCCCCGGGCTGGGCGAGGAAGGCACAGCAGTGAATCCATGCCTGCCTGCCCTCCAGGGGCTCCGGCTCGGGGCGGCGGGGGTGGGGCGGGGACAGAGGGGCTGACACCCGGCCACAGTACCCGGTGCTGCTCCGAGCATGAGCGCAGCACCACGGGGAGATGAGGCAGAGAGATCGGCATGCCTCCCTTGAGCAAACTGTAAAGTGCTGTGGCAACGCTGCTCTCCCGCTGCTGCCAGCAGATGCAGTGTCCAGGCTGGCACGTAGGCGCCTGGCTGCAGCCAGCACCGCCCTCGGCTGTTCTTTGCACCCGCAAGAAATACACGTTCGTTGTGCTTGCTATCGCAGTCTTAGCGTCTGCGGTCCTGCAGCCGACCCTAGCCAACAAAGACGTCTGCAGAGCTATCAGCTGTCTTACAGAAGAGGACGTGTAGGCTCAGAGGGGTTACATGTCCTGCCCAAAGATACACAGCAAGTGAGTGAGTAGGGCTGGACTTCAAACCCAAGTCTGCATTACTGCAGCAAAAAATAATAAATCACAGCTCTGACGGTTGGATGAGATGATGATCAATATAATCACTGTAACAATACCAACTCGCCTTCACTGCGGGCTTCCTTTGTAGCAGGTACCCATTTACTGGACATAATTCAATCCTCGTAACAACCCTCTAGCATAGGTGCCTCCATTATCCCCATGTCACAGGTGAAGAAAGCAAGGCACAGAGTCAGGTGCCCAAGGTCGGGATGAGGACGGCGGAGCCAGGACGCAAACCTGGGCTGGAGGCTCCTCCGGGACCCAGGACCAATCAGAGCCCTAACCCAGCTCCCCCCCCAGCCCCCCCTCCCCCCCCCCCCCCAGGAGGCCAGCCGCAGGTTTTGGTCCCCTCTCCATCCCGGGACAGACAGATGAGCTTCCCTTTCCTCACCCCACGGCCGCCTCCCTACATGGCCTCGTGCAGGCAGGTCTGGAAGCCTTTCGGATGCTGCTGGGGCAGCTAAAAATAGGCCAGAGGGGAGGAATGGACGAAGAGTGGGTTACGTCACCAGCTTTTGGAAACAAGAGAAAACGGATACTGTTTGCACACACAGAGGAAAATTCCTCCTCTCTCCCACACAAGGCGAGACGGACCTGGCTAGGGCTCCCAGAGGACGGACACACACACACGCACGCTCCTCTCTCCTGTTCCCTCTGGTCTTTCCCAGCCCCCAACATTGGGAGTCGGGCCTCGATGTGCCATGGGCCACAGGGTGCAGGACCTACAGAGCAATGGGGTGAGGTGGGGGCCTCTCCCAGGGATGAAGGACACAGAGGAAGCTAAGGAGAGAGGGAGGGAACCCAAGAGTCTAACCCAGGCAGGACCATCTCAATGAGGACCTTCATTGTACAAGTAGGGAAACCGAGGCCCCAGTGTACCAGGAACCCGCAAGGTCACCCAGTACGCCAAGGGCCAGGCCTGGAGTTCAGCTCCGAGCCCAAGGTGGGGGACAGAAATCCCAGGTGCGCAGAAGTCCACAGGCTGCCCTCGCCCCGCCCAGCGGCCTGGGGCATCCAGGGCTCCCCTCAGGAGAGGCCAAGGCCCAGAACCCAGGCCCCAAGCTGAATCATCTCTCCTGGCCACGCCGCTCGGAGTCGGGCAGAGAACTTGATTCCAAAGCCACTGAGCGGAGCAGGCGCACGGGAGGGCCTGGCCTCACCGCTGGGTCATACAGCGACTGCCGGACAGCAGGCAGGGGGCAGCGAGGGGTGAAGACACAGGAGCCCAGGGGCATCGCACCCCCCACACACCCACTCCCCAGGCTCCTGGGGAGACGGCCCAGCCCCCACTCACTTTTCCTCACAGCAACCCTCTCATGAGAAAGGTGGGCCAGGGGTCAACAGACCCATTGTACAGAAGGGAAAATGAGGCCCAGAGAAGAACAACTGGCCCCAAGTCTACCCAGAGTGAGAGCCTGAGCCGTGTCTTTGGATCTCCAGAGACATTAGCGGCAGTAGAAGCAGCCACTGCCTGGTGAGCGCGTCTGCGTGCCACGCATGCACGGGGCTCAGTGCCAGATCTGGGTGCCACGCATGCACGGGGCTCGGTGCCGCGTCTGGGTGCCACGCATGCACGGGGCTCGGTGCCAGGTCTGGGTGCCACGCATGCACGGGGCTCGGTGCCACGTCTGGGTGCCACGCATGCACGGGGCTCGGTGCCACGTCTGGGTGCCACGCATGCACGGGGCTCGGTGCCGCGTCTGGGTGCCACGCATGCACGGGGCTCGGTGCCAGGTCTGGGTGCCACGCATGCACGGGGCTCGGTGCCACGCCTGGGTGCCACGCATGCACGGGGCTCGGTGCCGCGTCTGGGAGCCACGCATGCACGGGGCTCGGTGCCGCGTCTGGGTGCCACGCATGCACGGGGCTCGGTGCCAGGTCTGGGTGCCAGCATGCACGGGGCTCGGTGCCACGTCTGGGAGCCACGCATGCACGGGGCTCGGTGCTGCGTCTGGGACCCACGCATGCACGGGGCTCGGTGCCAGGTCTGGGTGCCACGCATGCACGGGGCTCGGTGCCCTGTACACCCATCTCATCAGCTTTCGTGTGAACTATTAACCCTCTCGGGTGAAGAATTTTCCTCCAAACCCACTTTGCAGATGGGAGAGCTGAGGTCAGAGAGGTAACTTGTCTGAGGTCACACAGCTAGAAGCAGGGCTGGCACCCAGACGCGGCACATTGTGACAAGCATGGAAATCACCCAGGGATCTTGCTGAGATGCAGACCCAGATGCAGCAGGTCTGGGGTGCAGTGGACAGAAACCTGCAGCCGTATTTCTAACGAGCTCCCCTGCAGATGGCACTTTGAGTGGCCCCACTCCTCACTAGTGATTCTAAGCCGCACCCCAGCAGATGAGCTTGCACGAATGATTTCATGGCCCTTTTGTTTCCAAAGCCAGGCTGGGTGGGCAGCCGGCACTCCTGGTCCCGGAAGACAGGGCACAGACCCCAGCGTGCAGATAGCAGCTGGCCTGGCGGACCGAGTCCGCTGTCCCGCTGACATGCCTCCCAGCTGCCGCGGGAGAATCTGGCTCCGCTGGCTCCAGGGTTGACAGTGCAGAAAAGCTTTGCCCTTCAGCTGCTCTGGCGGACTGGGGGGAAGGATGACCACAGGTGACGGGCTTCTTAAGATGCTCCAGACACCCCACACTCACGGCAACTCAGCCCTGGAGGAGGAAGCACGCAGCTTGACCGAGAACTGGTCCACCAAGCTGTGGGCTGAGTGAGACATTTCAACGCCTGCTTCCCAGGCACAGTCCCCTCCCCGACCTGGACCAGCCCACAGCAGTAAAGTTTCGGCAGGATGGGTGTTTCAGGCAGAAGAACCAGATAAGCAAAGCGGGGCAGCAAGAAGGCCTGGGAGTAGCCAGTGGCCCCTGAGAAGGGGACACACCTACTATGGGCCAGGGGCTGGCGGATATCATGTCCTTTAACCTTCACTGTCCCAATTCTCTTGCATGACCCACCGCTCAGCAAAGGAAGTCACACAGAACACCACCTCCCTGTGTTACAGGGGAAATGAGGCCCAAAGACCACTCAAGCCAGGGCCAAGTCACTTAGAACCACCCTGCACAACAGCTTAAACTTCCAAATTCTTCTCTTAATGTGATGGATTAGAGACAGGAGCGGGGGACATTTATTGGTCGCCCTCTGGGTTGTGAGCACCATGTTGGACAGTCACTTACACACAAACTATAGCATGTCACCTGACACGCCCCTAAGGGTCATCCCCACTTGCAGATGAGGACACAGGCTCAGAGGCAAGTCCGTTTCCCTGTCCCTCCCTCCTCAGCCTTCTGACACCCTGTGCATTGTCCCAGGTTGGTCTCAAATGTCGCCCCTTCCCCAAGGCCCCAGCCACTTTTCTGTTCTCCCTTCTCCAGTTCCAAGCTCCTGCTGGAGCAGCCAGGCCTCGGGATGCGGGCGGCTTGGCGGTGGTGTCTCACCACACAAGGCTCTCCCCCAAGAGCCAGCCACCATGCCAGAAGAGCGAGGGACCACCCTCTACCCTCTCCACCTCCCCAAAGTCCTCAGGCCCCAGTCCCAGATCCACCTTGCCCAGATCCTCCCCTCTCCACCCCTCCCGCAGGCAGACAGCGGCAGCAAGTCTCACACGACTGGCAGCTCTCAGTCCACGACGCTCAGAGCAGCCCCGGGAGCAGGCAGGGTAGCTCATGACGGCGAGGACGAAGATGGTGACAATACTAATGGAACATCTAACGGGGTCTGAGTGCCTACGATGTGCCCATTCTTAGTGGCTTCACATGCAAACCTCATTTCAGCGAGTGACACAGTAACCTTTAGGTACAATCACCACCTCCGTGTCACCGATGAAGATGTTCAAGTCCAAAACCATCAGCCAAGATCACACAGCCAGGAAGGCGGGGCTGTTTTCACTTTACAGGAAAACGAACACTCAGACAATCTCCCAAAGCAAAGGCTGAAAGGGACAGGACTCACCTTGCCCAAACCTCGGGCGCACAGATGATATGGAGGCCCAGGGCTACGCAGGGAGAGGGTGGCAGAGTCCTCCGTTCTGCCAGCCTAAGCCAGAGCTCCGGAGGAGGGAGGCGGAGGGCAGTGAGCCAGGCCCCGGATCTGCCGCCCCCAGCACCTGCCTCCATTTCTCAGCGAGACAGATCGCGGCCCAACACACTCCAGCGACACAAGGAAAACCATTCTCTCCCACACTCTCTTACAGTCATGTGACTGGCCCCCAGCCACGGGCCAGTTCTGGCTGAGCGGACCTCAGGGCGTATTAATGGCCCTTACGACTCAGTCCCTCCAGTCCCTCTGGTGACCAGTGCTCCCCCCTCCCCCCACCTGCAGCCCTGAACCGAATGTGAAATCAGAATCCCAAGGAGGAAGGGGCCAACGTACACCTCCCCGGAAACCCCTGGGGCACC